ATGAACATCATCCGTGTCTTTGACGGAAAGACTGGCAAGAGCTTGATGGAGAGAACACTTCAAGCACCCTTCCTCGCCGCCGACAGCAACTGCGGTGATATCCCCGACTTCATCGGCGTTACGGGAACCCCCATCATCGACCCCAACACCGATATCATGTACCTCTTCTCAAAGGGTTACCGGGACGGAACCACCTCCGGTACCGCCAATGGAGTCTACAAGATGTACGCCCTCCGGATTCCTAGCCTCGAAGACGTCTCTGGCTTCCCGACTCTCATTGACGGTATCAATGCCGACAACGACCGTGGCCGGTATCTTGTTGGTGGTGTGGCCCTGCAGCGCCCAGCCCTGACGGAGCTTAATGGCCACATTGTTGCTGCATTTGGATCACACTGCGGTCGCTGGAACTACACCGGCTACATCGTCTCGGTCAGCAAGACTCCAGGCGTCGGTCCCGTTAGCATGTGGGCGACGGAAGCAGCTCCCGGTGCACCTAGCCCCCAGGCTCTGGACCTTGCCAACGAAAGAAGCGGCAAGGCAGGCATCTGGCAGAGTGGTATGGGTCTGCCCACCATCGGCAACAACGTCTACTTCGTGGCTGGTAATGGCCAGGGACACGCCAATGGCAATGTTCCGGCGAGCGGCAGAATTTCCATGTCAACACTTGATGAGTGTATCGTCAAGATGGAGCTGTCGGCTACTGGTAAATGGTCTCTCATCGACTACTTCCAACCTTACGACTATGTCGCGCTTGATGCAGGTGACCGCGACGTTGGCTCCTCTGGTCTTGCCGTTTTGGACGGTTCTGTCTTCAAGGGCGCTGGTGTTAACCGCATCGGCGTGACTGCAGGAAAGAAGGGTAGAACATATGTGGTCAACGCTGACAATCTTGGTGGATTCCGTCAGGCCGCAGATGGTGGTGATGGTGTCTTGCAGACTATCGAGCTTGGTGGCTCTCTGTATGGCGGCTTCGGCAGTTACCCCGCTGAGGGTGGCTACATCTATGCAACCACTGTTGGCGGTGCCCTTGTTGCTTACAAGCTTGGCTTCGACTCCAAGGGCGTGCCACAGTTCAGTCTCGCTGGCCAGTCTTCCTGGATCTCCGCCGGCCGTGTTGGTGTTGGCCAAATGACAGTTACCTCCGACAATGGCAAGGCTGGTTCCGGAATCGTTTGGATTACTGATGTCAACACTGGTCTCATGGCTTTCAAGGCTATTCCTCAGGACGGTGTCATGGTTCCCATCACCCTACCTTCGTCTCAAGGCACAAACAAGTACCAACGTCCCGTTTTCGGCGACGGCCGAGTCTTCTTCCACGTCAACGCCAACAAGCTCGTCTGTTTTGGTGCGCCGGTCAACTCTGCCGTCAACTGCACCTCTCCTCTTGACTTTGGCTCCCTGGAACTTGGATCTACCGCGAGCGCCACTGTCAGCTGCAAGGCCAATGTCGCCTTGGCTGGTGTTGTTGGATGTTCCGTCGCCGACGCGTCCTGGTCGTGCTCCAACTCGACTCTCCCCCAAGGCGCCGTAGCTGCGGGCACATCCTTCAACCTCAACGTGACGTGGGATCTCTCAAACACTGCTGCAAAGGTCGTACCCGGCTTCCTCACCAGTGCTATTACACTCGCTGTCAACGCCTCGGCAGACTACGCCGCGAGCGCTTTTGTGACAGTCCAGGGCACCGTCGTCAAGCAAGGAGCTTTTCTTAAGGCGACTCCATCGGATATCACATTCGGAAGACTCGTATTGCGCGATTCACCCGATGGTCTCACCGCCACGGCTCTTCTCCAGAACATCGGCAACGGCACCCTCACCTTTACTGGATTTGCTTGGCAGGACACTACTGGCATTTACACCAACTTCACCAACGACGGCACTCTAGGTGCTGGATTCACTTCTTCGGGCTTTCCTGCTGTTGGTTCCACTTTGGACTCTGGAAAGAGTCTTTCGGTCCCTCTCCGTTTCTTCCAATCCACCGCGGGCTCCTACTCCTCAAAGGTTGCAATCTGGTCTAACGGTGGTTCCTCCGTCCTCACGTTGAGCGCCTCCGTCAACGATGCTCCCGCTGTAACATTCGAACTCTCCGACGGCGCAGGCAACTGGAACGCACTCACAGACTACAGCGTCGCCTTTGGCAATGTTCTTGCCGGCACTTCGGTCGATAAGCAAATCCGAGTCTGCAACAAGGGTGGCGCGCCCTTGACGATTACCATCTCCAAGCCCCCTGCGACGCCTCAGCTGTTTGCTTTGAACCCTACTGCCGAGCTTACTGAGGGAACACAGGTTGCTGCTGGTACATGTGCCATCGGCAGTGTCGGCATTCACGCTGCGCCTGTCCAGCCCAACCATCCGTCTCAAGCGCTCAAGGCTCTGTGGACCATCAGCTCCGATGGTAACGATCCCACCACTGGCCAAGCTTCTGGACTGCACAACATCGCCTTCTCTGGCACTGTTGTCTCGAAGCAGGTCGGACCTCTCCTCACCAATGGCACCGCGCGTTATCAATGGGTTGGATGCTTCCAAGACACAAGTAGTGCCGGCCGTAACTTGCAAACTTCTGTCAACACGGCTGATCAGCAGAAAACCAACACTCTCCAGCAATGTCAGACTCTTTGCCTTGCCAAGGGTTACATCCTCTCCGGAGTTCAATACCATCAAGAGTGCTGGTGTGGTGGAAGCATCAAGACCCCTTCGACGTACAGATCTGAGTCTCTCAACCTTTGCACCTTTGACTGCACAGGTGATGATACCCAGGCATGCGGAGGTGATGGTGGCCACATGAGCTTGTACGCCGACATCACCTCGTTCGACATTGCCGGTTTCTACGCTTCTCTCAACGCTCCAAGCTCCAGCTCCAGCTCATCGGTACCAGCTGCTACGAGCTCCAGCTCAAGCATTGTGTCCTCTAGCAGTGCCGTTACTGTTTCGACAAGCTCTGCAAGCGCATCCAGCAGCGCAATCCTCAGCAGTTCCTCCGCGACAGGACTTTCCAGCAGCACGCCGGCTACAAGCACGGTGGCCTCATCCACACTGACCTCTTCTTCGAGCACCTCATCTTCCAGCCCTTCGTCTACAATGGTTATGTCGCCCATCAACTCCGCCATGCCAGCTGTTATCGGTGGCCAGTGGCAGTACTCTGGCTGTTACAAGGATCTCATCAACGGCACTCGCCTGCTGGCTGAGTCCTTCCTGGCTGCGGACGACATGACTTTGGATCAGTGCGCCGCATTCTGCAGCGCCGGCGCTTACAACGGAGGAGCCTTCAACTACTTTGGAGTCGAATACAGCCGCGAGTGCTTCTGCGGCTGGGATGTGAAGGCGTCCCAAACTTCTGCCTCGGAGTCGGACTGTTCTATGCCATGCGCTGGCTCAAAGACCGGTTTGTGCGGAGGCGGAGCTAGGTTGTCAGTCTACAGCAACACTATCCCGAACAAGGTCCCCTCGGCTCCTCAGCACGCCCCTCAAGCCGGCAACTACAAGTTCTTGGGTTGCCAGACCGAAGGTAGCAACACTCGTGCCTTGACTGGTGCCTTCACTGCCGCGGATACCATGACTGTCGAGGCTTGCGCCACCTTCTGCTCTGCCGGCAACTGGCAGTACATGGGTGTTGAGTACGCCCGGGAATGCTTCTGCGGCAATACCACCAACGCTGGATCCTTGCCGGCTGCCCTGACAGACTGCAACATGGTCTGCAAGGGTAATGCGCTTCAATACTGTGGTGCTGGTGGGCGTCTTGACCTGTACACATTCTCCCCAGCCAGCTCCAGCTCGTCTTCAAGCACTGTAGTATCGACTTCCTCGACAATCGTTAGCTCATCATCTAGTGTGGTGTCGACGTCGTCTATTCAGACAACCTCCTCGATCTTGAGCTCGAGCTCTTCCGCCTCGCCGGCGTCATCTTCATCAACCGATCTTCCGTCTAGCTCTTCCTCCGTTGTCCAATCAAGCAGCTCGGCATCCTCTTCGTCATCGGCTGCATTCACAGGCCAAACTGCCAGCGGTTCTTCCAGCTCGAGTGCAATCATTTCGTCCTCTTCTACGTCGCCTATTGTCACCAGCTCTTCGCAGGTTTCCAGCTCGTCCGTTCTCTCGTCAAGCTCTTCGTCTAGCTCTGTCGTGGCGTTCACAACGACCTCCACCAGTAGCAGCTCATCTGCAGCGCCGCCGACATCCTCTTCCTCAACCATACCCGTACCCACCGTTCCCGCATCAACCACGGCAAGCAGCTCTTCCCTCGCAAGCACTACTGCCGGTCCGACTGCCACTCCCACAAACGGCTACTACTACATTGGCTGTTTCCAGGACACCGGTAATGGGCACGCACTGCCCGGACTGTTTGCCAACAACAGCGGTACACCCGAACTCTGCATTGGCTACGCCAACTCGCTCTTCAGCAACTCGCCGACCTCGACGACCAAGTTGCCGTATGTCTTCATGGAATACCACCACGAGTGCTACGGTGGTAGCAGCTTTGAATTCAACGGCGCTGCCGTCACGTCACTGGTCGGACGGGGCGCCTGCAAGGATTACTGCTACGGCAGCGTCAGCACATTCTCGACGAACGGTGTGCTCACGACTACTACTGCCACGAACAACTATTGCGGCGGACCGCGCATGTTTGACTTGTACGCACTGTCGACTGCGGTAGCCTGGCCTACAACTGGCGGGCCTCTAGTCACACAAACAGTAAACTGATGGGTGGATACCATCTAATGTTTTCAAATTTTATTGCATAATAGTGGTCTATCTTAGAAGACCTCGGATATTTTCAGCATGATATTTTCTACATACCCAGGCATGCCCTTAGACTGGATGCCGTACAATCACTTGCATATCTAGACTTCTCTTCAAATTCATACTACCTTATCTTGTTCATATCACATCATCGATTCATTGACATTTGCCTCTGAGCTCTACAGTCATGCCTTATCCCATTGATCATGGTCAAGCATTGCTCTTCAACCATCTCTGAACAGATCTCACTCATGATCATGGTTTGCCTAGGCGTCTGAGGCATCAAAGTTGCGAATGAGGTCGTAGTAGAATCTAAGGATCTCCATGTGTGCTTCAAACTTGATCCTCTCGTCGATGGTGTGGGCGTTGATGGTGTACCCGTTGCGGATAGGTACAAAACGGTAGACGTTGCGAGTAAGGCCTGTCATTTATTAGCTCGTTGTCCATTTTTCTGGATCCCGTGCTAGTCACTGATGAAATACATACCCAGATAGTGCCTCGTGTCAGTGTTTCCGGTCATCAGCTCGCCCACGGGAACAACTTTTCCACCGTCGAACTGGAAGCTGGACTGCAGCGTGCCCGAGAAGAGATCCCAGATAGGCCCAGTGGTAGGCGAGATGGGAGCGGGCAACGTCGCCTGCGTGCGGCTGAGAAAGAGCGTGCCATTGTAATCAACGTCGTATAGGGGCTTCACGCCATCCTCGAGCTTCTTCATCAACCCAATATCGTGTGACTTGTGCAGCGCAGCGTACTTCTCGTACTCGTCGTCGCCCTCGAACGCCTTGATCTTGATGCCGTACTTTTCAGCGATGCCGCTAATGTACTTTACGACATTGTGCTGGATCTCGGGGATGCTGTTCTGCGGCGCGACGCGGTAGTTCACGCCGACCTTGATCTTCTCGGGCATGGCGTTGATCTTTTGGCCGGCCTGGAAGTAGTCTACGCTCTGCGAGGTCTGGAGGCGGTAGTGCGTCGGCCGATCGATGGAAATGAGCTCCGCCGCGAGGGCGTCGAGGTCGCCTTCCTCCAAGAGCTGGGTGATTTTGGGCTGGGCGTCGGGCGAGTAGCGCGCCTGGCAGACCATGTGTTCGTACAGGGGGCTGGAGGTTGTGAGTTCAGGAGAGTAGGGGTTCGATTCGAGGGCGACGACCATTTCGGAGACGATGCCGATGCCCGTGTGGGGGAAGGGGACGGAGGAGTGGCCGCCCGTGACGTGGAGGTTGATCCAGATGTCGACGTGGCCCTTTTCCATGACGGCGGGGAGGGCGTAGAGCGTGCCGTCGTCGAGCTGCTGCAGGCCCATGCCGCCTTCGTCGAGGACGAGGGCCATGCTGTCGTTGCCCCACGTCTGCTGGAGGTGCGTTGCGATGTGACCCGCCCCGCGGGCGCCGGAGCACTCTTCGTCGAAGCCGGAGGCGAGGATGATTGTGCGGGTCGGGGTCCAGGCGTAGCTGCCGGCGCCATCGTCACCGGGAAGAGATAGGAGGGTCTCGAGGGCGGAGAGGAGGGCGGTGAAGGAGTTCTTGTCGTCCGAGACGCCGCGGCCCCACATCCATTCGCCGTCGTAGTGGGCGGAGAAGGGCGGGTAGGTCCAGGTTGCGGCGTCGGCTACGGGGACGACGTCTTGGTGGGCTGCGAGGAGGAGGGGTTTGAGGGATGGGTTTGTTCCCTTGAGGGTGTAGACTAGGCCGAAGGTGTTTACTTTTTCGAGGGTCGAGCGGGCGTGGCTTTGGTTGTGTCAGTTTATATGGGCTTTCATTTCTGGTATCTGAAGAGCATCACGAGGAGAGGTCGGAAGAGCAGGGTGAGGAGGACGAGAAGGATGAGGAATTGGTGGAAGGGCGGCGAGGGTAAAGGCTTACAAGACGGGGTACGTCTTCTTCAACACGTCATGAAGCTCGTAAAAGACGTTCCAGCGCTCGTCTTTATCGAAGTCTCCGAGATCGTCGTAGCAGATTGAGGGGACGCGGACGAGGGCCGCGTGCCTCTCGACTTGTTTCTGGACGGCGGCTTTGGAGGTGAAGAGGTCGCGGGCGGAGGGGAGACCGTCGGAGGGGGTTACGGGGGGCGGGAGGTCGCATTTGAAGGAGGAGGCCGCATGGTTGGCGCCGGAGCCGGGGCCGGTGCCGGTAGAGGGATTGGGGATGTCCTCGGTTTCGATGAATGGGTATTGAGGTTCGGTGTAGAAGGGAGAGGAGGATGCTGCGAGGTTTGCGGAGAGGAGGGTTAGGAGGAGTTGGGAGCGCATTTTGGGCTGTGAGTTCTGTCCCGAGGGGTGGCGATGGGAGAGGTTTGTGTTGGCAATTAACGATATGGTGGACCAATTCAAGTCATCAAATGATTGCTGGTTGAGCAACCCCAATGTTCCCCGGGTCGAGGTAGTAGAGCTTTGGATTAGCAACACCGCCACCCTTGACTCCTCAAAACGTCGAGAACTGAGAGAAGGGAAGGAAATCACAGCAAGGGGTTGGCCAGGGACGAGTGAACGTCGTTATGTATGCAATCCCACCGAATCCATCCTTGCCGTGTCGGGGCTCATTGCGTGATAGGCACAGCTAAGCTCCTGCTTGAGAGCTCTCCATCCTTCTCAGTCGATCCCACATAGGTACTAACGTAGAGCTTTCCCCCGCCGAGATAGGAGTTTGGTGGGGTTTATTGATAACGGCATTGGACCCCAGTCTTTGCCGAAGCCGGGTTTGGGAGGACCCGGGGATGGGGGGGTGGTCGGTTGGATGTGAACCGTTTGGCTGAGTGGGTGAATGGGGAGGTTTGCGGCCGGTGCCGATACGGAGATGTCGGAGGGAGCTCCAATGGGACGGAGAGGTTTGGAGAGGAAGGGGAGCATTGGGCGATGATGTGCTATCATGCAATCCGTCTCGTCGGAGAGATGCCGCGGGCAACTTTTTTGGGATTGTGGGACCTTCCTAATCGGAGCGTGGAGATTTAAAGGGGTGGAGTGATTGGTTGGTCGATGGATGGTGAAAGTTCAGTTGCGTCGGGTATCGTCCGGTCGGCTATTTCGAAGAGTCGGGGAATTGTGTTTGGGGGGTTGATGATGCTCGATTTGTTGGTGAGTGACGCAAGGACGATAGGTATTAGGCTCGATAGATGTGACCTACCACTTTCTAGAAGTTTTGTATAACCGCAAGCTATAGAGGCTCTGTGTTCGATTTCAAATCGGTGCGAGAAGTTTACAACGGCGCCGGCGCCCGGACAGCCGGGTTCGGCGCGGGGTTCCCGGCCGATGTGCGGGGCTCATCGGGATTCATGCCAAGCACCGTTACGGCTGCTACCGTTGCCCGTGGCTGGTTCCGCAACTTGCCAATGAACGACAGAGAAATCTATCTTTTCGGCATCATTTCGCGACTGGTTCCAACTCGGAGTCCTCAGAGTCAACGACAGCGCACGAGTTGCCGCCCGCAGCCCTTTCTACCAATATCATCATGCTGCCGGGGCACTCACGCTAAATTGTGCTCTTCTCGATGTCCTGGACGCTTTTTCAAAGCTGACAGATGACGTCTGGATAAGGCAGTTCATTTTGAATGAGAGAAACATCGTAACAAAAGCACATTATGACTCAGGCCCTTTGGGATATTCAGCAGGAAAATACTACAGCAGTTGAATGGGGGCTGGGTCACTAGAGCGAGGTACGGCTCGTCTGCCGTATCGGGAGGCATCGGAAGCGCTTCTATGAAGGTGGACTTCGCGGAGAAACTTCTATAATTCGAGAATGTGACCATTGAATAAAATTTCCCATCGTATACATATGACAACGACGTGGCCCAGGAACTGATACTGGCTTCAGACCGCCAACTCTCAAAATGATGACCAGATGTCGGGCCTATGGCTCGCTCTTCGCCATGTCAGTGTCGGAAAGAGCAGTCTCCCGTTAAGTATAGCGAGGATATATTGTGAACGTTGACGCCGTGGTTCAATCAACGCAACGCCCAAAGTCAACGGTGAAGTACGTCCCTACAGGTCATGAGATCCATATTCTGGCATGCCAGCGGCCGTCGTTGGAGGTCAGAGAAGCTGGAGTACTCCGACGAGTGGGTGGAGCTGGCGTTTCTCCTAGTGAACTCTGTCGCTGGATGGTAAGTCGGAGTCTAACACCTCATTCGCTGAACTCATTGCTTGAAATACTCTCCAAGGGATCGACACTGGGAGCCTTGTAGATGTTTCGTTTGTTTGTAGGTTCATCGAACCAGACTCCCCAGGCTGAATCGCTATCGCTAGGCATTGGAAGTTTCTTTCGAGAAACCGGACCACTCACCTCGGTGGATATGGGTGGTGATCATCGTCTACGCGCTGTAAGGTCTCCACACCGGTCGTTTTGGTCGGGCTCCGCCACCGTCACGGCCTTTGCAGGATGCTTCTGGCTGGTCCGGGTTGCCAAGACTCCCCAGCCAGTCCGAAGTTCCAGGCCGGTAGGGCTGCGACAGCTGATGACTCGATGGTTGCGGGCGGGCAGAAAGAAGGGATGGAAATCGACGTCAATCGCCGATGGTGGAGGTGCAGGCTTTGGGATGGACAGGACGTGCGGATCATAGAGACCTGCGTTTTCAAATCCATACCGCTCTCATTTGAGTACCTGATTAGCCAGCATGGCCTGCTTTCGCCCGGCTTCGACGCGGCTACGTCGGCCGTTCATGGTGCCCGATATACCGGAGAGTCATGGGAAGCCTGCCCGTCCCGTCCTGATCAAAGTTTCAACGGCCGCCCGTCTCCGATAGTTTATGTTTCGTTTCGGACGGATGCTGCAGAGAAGGGGTGTACGGATAAGTTGGGGGGTTTTCCAAATTTCTCTCGAGCTTGGCACTAGAGTTTTTAAACTTCTCCCACCGGGCTTTGCCCACGCGGACTGCTCCGTACACACTATCCGCAGCAAAGTGCCCAGCCGGCCGGATGCAACAAAGCTCTTTCTGGGCGTTTACTAGCAGCGATCAGCAGTGCGGGAACTTATTTTTTTGCAAGGGCAAGCTCTTTCTATCAGTTTTGATATTCTGTTTAGAGTTTCGACTCCCCCGCGAAATGATTTGCAGCTGTGGATTCCCGCGATGTTTACTTGCCTTACGCACCCCTGGCTCTTGGCCGATCGTCGTGAGGGGTGATCTTTTTGGTGGGGTTTTTCGAACGACTTGTGATGACTTCACATCAGACCACACTAAACCATCTTGAAAATGTCGCCAGTTCGGACGCTGGTTGTGTTGTGCATCTGGTCTGTAAGAGGAAAGTTGCACGTGGTGGTTTAGTAGGTGGTGGGATGGAAGTTGAGACGTTGGTATAGCTGACTCGATAAACCTACGACAAAATTTAGCTGACAAATTACGCAAGAAAGATTAAATCAGACGAGGGGGGACATGATGGAGTTGGAAAGTGAGTTACCTTTGCATTCCCCGGATTCGGGCATTGTCGCCAGGAACCGACATAGACATAACGTTTCACGTCACGACGCACATTGTCACGATTACGTCGCTGCGAGAGGGAGGGTATAATGGGTGAAGAATAAGTATTGAACATTGAAGTGTGAAGCTTTGTACAAGAACATGCAAATCCCAGGATTTTGTTGGGGTCAAGCCCATGGTGTGAAACTTTGGGAGATCCGTTTCCGAGTCATCTCGTCTTTCTCTCGTCCCTTCCGTCTCGTCTCAAAAAGGCTGACCGGGTATCAGATGCGAGTCCGACTGTCTACTCTAAAACTCTAAATTCCACTTTAGAAGCGCTTGCGAAGAGCCCGCTTGGCGTTGCGCTTGCAAGGGGCCTAAATGAGAGGTAAGGTTAGCTGAATGTGAACCACTTGTAACTGTTTCCGATCCGAACTCTACTCTGATGACAAAAGAGCCTCAAAGAGATGGGACGTTGGTGTAGGCAAGACTTACGGAAGAAGAGGGGGTAGCGGAGGGAGTGGCGGAGACGGGGTCGGCGGCCTGGTCGGAGCTGCCAGAGGCAGGGGTGGAGGGAGTAGCGGAGGCGACGGCCGAGGTCACGAGGGTGGTGGGAGCGGCAGAGGGGGTAGCAGAGCCAGATCCAGAGCCAGTGCCAGAGCCGGAACCGGAGGTGAAGTCGACGCAGGACATGTAAGTCTGGCCGGCCTCAGCAGAGTCCCACCACCACTGGAGAACGCAGTTGCCGGCGGTGCCGCAGTTGGAGGGGAGGGAGTCGGGGAGGGTAACGCTGAAGGCGGTGTTGTTGGCGGCGACACCGGTCTTGGTGGAGGCGTAGTTAGTGAAGGAGATCAGGGGAGATCCGATGATGGAGTTGCTGGTGGTGTCGACGACGGAGACGTTGGCAACACCAGTGTGGGGAGCGCGGATCTCGACCTTGAAGTCGACGGTCTGGCCGGGGGTGTAGCTCTGGATGTTGGCAGAGTTGTCGGCGAACTTGTAGCCCTTGCAGAGGGCGAGCTCGCACTTGGAGGAGTCGAGGCTGTTGCCGGCCTGCTGGGCGAGGCCCTGGATGTTGCCGTACGGGTCGGACTGCTCGGTGTTCCACATGGTGGTGCCGCAGGCCTCCTTGAAGGCATCACCGGCGGGGCGGGGAGTGGGCGAGGTGACCTTGCCGTGGGCCGAGACGGCGGCGACGAAAGAGAGGACGGTGAGGATGTTGGACTGCATTTTGACTGATTTCTACACGGTAGAGATTGGGTCGGTTTTTTTGGTATATAAAAAGAGGGTTTGGACGGTTGGGATTTGTCTTGCAATGTTCTGAAAAAAGCTTCAAAAGAATGGCTTGTGTCTAGCACAGCTGTAAAGAGAGTGTTGAAAGAATGAACGTGAATGAAAATTCGGACAAGTTTGGAATGGGACGAGGAGTTCAGATCAGAAGGACGAGCAAGAAGAGTTTGAAGGCCATGGAGGATGGTCTTATACAGTTCGACTGGCAAACCCGACTTTACGACTTGCCGTCAAAGTGGTGGGTGTCATGGGCGACCCAGTCCGGACCCAGCCACGGACCCGGAGCAATCTATGCAAGACGGCTTGTTGCGATCGAAGCTTTCAGGGGAACTGATAGTACCTTGCATGGTTATGGACTCATACGCAAAAGACGAAGAAAAAGCTCAGGCCAGCCTTGGGCAGTCAGCCTGCCATGGACAAGACGAGACGTGTTGCGTAGACTCTAGAGTACGGATAGACATCAGCAAGTAACCCTCCAACAGCCTTCCAAGACTGTATACGGCCACCAAGGCGGCCACCAAGAGCCTAGAGATGTGATCCATCCGTGGTCCTGGAACATGCCAGCCAACGGACCCCAGTCAGCTCCATGTGGAGGGAATGGCAGCGATTGGGCGGATGACGGGCAGGGCTCCCACAACGGGCAGTAGTCGCCCAGTTGTTTAATTTGAGTGAGGCTAGGTGGACACTCTTTGGACCGAGTCTTGCCCGTCTTTGGTTGACGTTCCAGCGCAGACGCCGTGACGGCCACGACAAGCGACGAGGGTTCGAGTTGGACGACTCGACCGTGAGATGGGGAGGGGGCAGCGCACGCCGCACGAAGCCGTCTGACATGATCCTTGCCTCGCCCTTCTCGCTCCTGAACCGGGATGGCTGAAACGGCGCCATCACGCATCTTTCAGGCGGCTCCGCCATATGACCCCCACCACCTTGCTTTACTCGATTCGATGGGATCTGGACGGTTGACCTCGTTCACGTTGTCGTAGCCAGGCAAAAGCTATGTGATTGAGGGCGAAGTCACGGTCCCTTTCCTCGTCCCATCTTCGGTTCCTCGGCCTCTCGCATCTTCGATGACCTCAACGGGAGATCATATGAGGATCATTACGACCTGGAACGTCCCTGCAAGCGAGAAATAAAAGGTCGATGCGCTTGTCGGGAAGCTGCCTGTCTTTAAAGGGGCATGACAGATCGTGTTTGTCGCTCTCCACGTTTTCTTCGTCTCCTTCTTGGGAAAAATTTTGAGTTGCTGTGCGGGTAGCTGGCCTGTTTCGAGAAGCTCCCTCCGTGAAGACAATCTCGACTGCTGCCAATCTATTGATGTGAACTGGAGCTGGTTGAGCCTGACCCTTTCAAAGTTCACATGCAAGCAAGGGCGAGTAGTCGAGACTTGACCGTATCAGTAATCGTCGCCCGGAATTAGCTACCGACTGGTGAACGGTTACCGCAACGCACTGCCGTTCAATCTGGATGCATCTCACATAGAATGAGATCCTTCTCTAGTGCAACTTCAGCTGTCCAGCCCGATGGCGCTGATGGCATCACTCGGTGTGCAGCCGTGTCTCATAGCCTCAGCGCTCAGCGCATCTTTTCATCAACTTCAGACCATTGAACTTTTGCCCATGTGGACTCCGTCGCACCCGACTTGGCTCCCAGGTCGTGGGCCACTCAATGGCACGCGTCATTCGAAAACGCCAACGCATTCCCAATTCTCCAAAGTGGTTCTGTTCTCTCTTCTGGTCTGCTTTTCGTACCCGGCTTGGCTGATTGTCGGTGTGCAGACTGGCTGCCCGCGGCCAGACCAGGCCAGGGACGACCAGGCCAGGCGCTCATCGGCCCTGGTTTCTTCTTCTCGCCTTCTTCGTCCGATCATCAACTGAACACATTGAAACTCACCCCCGTGCCCACATCGTGGATCCGAAGCAGGGTCAAGGGCGCTAAACCTTGTCCCATCGGCGGGTACCTGGGCCAGACCAGGCACAGGCTCCAGGGCCCCCCTCGGCCCCTCCTCCTAGCCAGACTCCTCCTGAACAGAACTGAGCCCGTTGGATTGGGCCGTTTGAATTTTACCTACAGGTGAGGAGGAGAGGGAGCAAGGAAGGGGAAAAGGGGACGGGCGCGGGCAGACAAGCGAAGAACATGGCTGCAGCTGTTTATGCGACGGAGAATGTGGGAGATGAAATGCACTTTTTTAAATTTATGGGATCATTGGGATGAAAGATGGAGAAACAGGAGCTGAGGCCCCTCCACATTCCCGCTGTGCCTCCCAAGATGGACCAAGACCTCCATCCGGTTGATTCGGTTACTGACCGATTCTATCGGCCGAGTGCGGATGACATAATCATACTCCGTTCACACAGAAGCTCTCCTGAGTTCCAATCTCCCTTCATTTCTGGTGTCCGGCGGTCGGACAGTGGATCTTTGGGCTTTCGGGATGCAGCAGGATGTCGTCAGTAGCCGCCGTTCGGCATGAAGCCGGGCGGTTGGCCAGATGATGGCTTCTAGATTGACTGGAGCTATCCATTTGTGGTCCCAATTGAGATGTGTGGAAGGGCCGACGAGACTCATGCGAGAAGCCGCCTACATCACTTTCATAAGTTCCATGAGATAGGCCACCTATTCAATACGAACCACAGAGTAGTCAAGAGGCTTGCTTCTAATATCAAAGATAAGGACGCTCAATACTATATCAGATTGGCGAGTCTTTCTTATTTCTGTAAGAAATCAGAGGAAGAGACTCGGACATGCACACAGTGGATGTCTATGACTCAAACGCTAGCTATCAAAAGAGAGACGTGTTGAGTAGCGCGAGATGAGAAACAGACAGTCTGAGGGAGGACTCGTCCTTCAGAATCGAACAGTCAAGCCCTGACGCTTACCTATCGCTTACAACACTGCATGGAATTTCTGTGTTGTAAGTGTTTTGCTGTTCGCATGCTCCAGCACTCACCTCGGTGATGGGTTCGCACCGTCATGACTTAGATGACTGTTCTTTGACTGCTGCTGTTCTACGCAGAGCATCCAAAGAACTGTCTTCATAAATCTTGATTGCCATACTCACCATCCCTGCAAATTTTAGGCCGTCTTAAGTTGAGTATGCTTGAATCGGTAGTGCACTTCTTCCCCGGCCGCAGCCCGCAGCCATGGAGTTCCACTTTCAGATGCCGCGTCATCCGTCTTTCGCGCCCGGCGCTCAATCTGACACGGCCCTTGCAGCTGGGACGCCGCCACTGGACAAGTCTAGCTGTTCCGGCCGGAAGCCCATTTTCCTGGCTGTCACTGCGGCCTCCCTCATCGGCTCTATTGTCGGTGGCTCGTCTTGGTCCCGAAGTGTCTGTTGTGAGAGCCGGGCGGGTACCGGCTGTGTGAACAATTTTGACTCGACGCGGTGGTCGATGAGTGATTCTCATATATGAAGCGATGTTGAACCTTAGATGGCAAACAAAGTATCCAACATCATTCACTTAAGTAGTCCGAGTGAAAACACATACTTCTCAAATGACAACAAACCGAGAGCTGATCAATTCAACTCATTCGGTAGGTTGAGCCACAACTATCCGGCCTCTCTTGAGTAGCTAGACCAGGGCCACATCCATCAACGTCTCGTAACTGGCGCTTCCGCTTCTTCCTCTGCCCGGAACAGCTCACTCAGGTCCTCTGAAACTTTGATGACCTCAATAAGCGGCGGCAGGTAGCAGGGCTTCCGCGGCGCGCCTCCGTAGTCATTCCAAAACTTGACCACAGCCTTCATGCCCACGAGCCCTAGGCCAGTGACGACCGAGTTCCCTCTCGCAATGACTGCCTACAGATGCTCCGCTTTGCGGAGCTCACCTCGATCAGAGAGCTCTCTTATGCGCACGCACGCGTACGTTGCGAAGTTGGCGAGGCCCGCGATCGTTCCGTTCGCCCCGAGGACTTGACACTGGCGGATGGAGTTGGTGTTGCCGCCGGCCACGAAGAAGCCCTTGGGAAATGAATCATACGTCTCCCGCGCGAGATTCTTCATGTTATCGTACTTCAAGTTGACGCCCATGACGTTGGGGTGCCTCGCAATACGGAGGATGTCGTCCAAGGTGAGATGCAGTCCCGATACCGCCACGGGGAAGTTGTCGATGACCAGCGGGGTGGGTGATTTGTCCGTGACGTCGTAGAAGTGCTGTATGATCACTTCATTGTAGATAACAGATACGTAGTAGCTCGGAACTGTTATTAATGAGTGAGACGCGCCGCTTTCGGCTGCGTCTCGACAGAGTTGAAGTGTTCCACGCGTCGACTAAGCACCGCACGCGGCTACCAACGGAGCGCGGGTGTTCTTGAGTCTGTCGCAATACTCTCTGTAGACAGCATCGGCTGCGCACCTGATCATGATGCTCTAGGTGCACTGCTTCGCTGATGGAACCGGGAATAACGATGCCTGTTAGCCCTGCTCCGACGAGTCTGGTGACATGATGCTCGAGAGTTATCTATTCGATGTCCTCGGAATGAGTAAAGAAGGCGAGAGTGGGAGCGTATACTTCATTGGGGAGACGAAGATGCTTTGCCTTGGGTGCCCCTTGCGAGGCTTCCGCCTGCGAATCATAAGTCACGCTGTCATCCGATATCGTTCTTGATAATTCACAATAGTCGTTCTTGTACATAACATCAAGTTAAGCGCAAGATCTCAGAGCCACATCAAATCATGCAGGGCAGCTTGAACCTTATACTCTCTTTGAAAACCCTGGCTCAAATATCTCGGAGCAACCTTCGCCATGTTAAGGACCAGATGATAAGTCAACAGAATTCACATCAAGCAAAGTCCAATATGCCCCCTTTTAAAGCAAAATACATTTCAGTGAACATGTGGCTTTGCAAGAGGGTGGGCAGAAATTTTAAGGTTTGAAAGGACAGGAGTCTGCGTTGGAATGGCTGCTTGTCAAACGACATATCCTACCCTTTTTGATACGCCACTGGACAGTTGAGAATGTTAAGTTGAGAGCCCGTTGAGTGGTGGACAAGGCAGGTATATCAGTACCTATATCAAAAAGTGCGCCTCCGCGACATCTTCCAAAGAACGCATTTGATCACTGCGTTCCCTCACGTAAGTCTTGCAGAAAGTTAGTACTTGACACTTGAAGAAAGGAGAGATCATGTTGCATCTAATATATCTTTCATGCGTTGATCTTGCGTTACACTGTAGTCAGTACATCATGCTGCTCTGTGTTCCTAGTGAACGCATAACACCCGTAGTCCATGTTTTGAGAACACTTCATTAGCTAGGTTCCAGAATACTTCAACCCATCGCTCTAAGAAAATCTTATTCATATATAACATGGACCCAATTAATCAAGTCTCGAGAGATTAATTGACTGGATATAGCGGCCGGAAGAGTTCACGTAAGGCCATTGCCTACCACCTCCTCGTTGATGCCCCCGTGGCCTTTGGTATAACCCTATAATGTCAGGGGCATGGCCAAGTATAAAGCAGTCAATCAAGATAAACAATCAAGAACGCCTGTGGACAGATCCCAGGTTATATGTCTTCCAATGCCTAAACCTCGTTCCTGGCAAACCTGTGCTACACTGTCGTCACCCACCTCACTTACTTGGGTCTGCTATGCGTGGGGTCTTCTTATCACGATTGGCCTCTGTGAACATCTCCACACCACATTGCATCCGCAATATGGATCACCGGCGTTGTGGCAGAGTGGTCTAATGCGCAAGACTAGAAATCTTGTTCCTTCGGGAGCGTCTGTTCGAATCAGGCCAACGTCGATTACCTTTTGTTTCCCTGTCCCGTTGTGTTTTGAATACCACAAGTATGACATGGTTGAACTTTTATGGACGCCGAACGGCAATCGAGGAACCAGATTGTTATATCACTAAAGTGAACTCAAGTTCGTGCCGGCTTTTGACTCAACAGTACTTACTACCTATATTGCTGAGTGCGAATTTCAGTTGTCATGTCTCTCCAGCGAGTAAATGTTCGTAACCCCAGTCTTTTCTGGGATCCATCATACTTCTCACATTTAGCTACTTTACCTTTAAGTGGTGGCTGGCTACCGTACATGCTCTTGACATGCTACATTGCCGCCTAAATCACCGGCCTTTTCTATCTGATGAGGTGAAGAGTCTTCATTTCTCTAGCCTTGAACTACTCGTGCATCAGCTCATATGCAACCTCACGGGCGCCTACCCCAGAACCAGGTCAGAGAAATTCCGATCAACGCCCCGTTCTGTATATCTCTCCTCAAGTCTGACTCAAGCCTGTCCATGTCTTCAGTAGTTTGAAGAGTGTCAACGCCTCCAGATTCAAGTATAGACAGCATTACTGGCTGAGCAACCTCGGTGGCTATCTTTCTCATCGACTCTCGCATCATGCCCTCCACACTGAAAGTATTCCAGACTTTGTTGTCGATATTCGCGAAGCCAGCGTCTCGGAGCACGAGGGGAAGTTGAGCGGGCATGCTATATTGGATGACCAGGATGAGTAAGATGAAAACGCTATAATTGTAGTGACAGGAACTTGTCCCAAAGCACTGTAGACAGTACTGAGAAATTTGAAGAACTTACAATGGATTGCGGCCAACTTTAATGGACCACAACATTCTGATTCGAGACCACTCGTCGAACGCGTGGCTGGGCGGGACGCACTTCCAGGACGTATCGCCGGCTTCTTCCCAGTGGATGTACCCCCCGGAGCGCAAGAGCGTGAACGCATTCGCCGCCACAGTTTTCCAATCCTCGTTTCGCATCCCAGATCCAATCAAGCGTATGTGTATCATGTCGAACAATCCATGCATTTCCTCTGGAAACGGCTTCAACGCATTATGCTGCAGAAGGCAAATATTTGGATGCAAGTCAGATGGTGGCGGAAATTTGGTGGTGTCCATATCAATGCCTCGTAGCTCGGCGCTGGAGGGGAGCAACTTTGCCATGTCTCTCAGCCAGATGCCGGTGCCGGTGGCGATTTCTGCAACGCGAGGGTTCTGCTGATCCTTAAGATGTGTCAAGATTTGCTGAGGACAGAGTCCACCGCAAAGAGGGAGGAAGATGTTCCTGTGATTGTACTCGAGTCGCTCACGTTCTTTAGTGAGGTCGCCGCGGTTGAGGGCGTAGACGGTATCCTGGTCCTTGTTCCATGGTTTCAAGCCAGCGTGGGACTGCGGATGGGATACTGCTGCCATTCTGTAAGAGTTCAGTAACAGGTTACAAGTGCCGTTGAGAATTCTTCTGACAGTACGGAGCTAGCTGTGTGGTTTTCAGGGCAACTCGACGGCCTTTTATACCCAAGGTCACACGGAGGTTCGGAACTCATGCAGCTTTCGACCGAGGCAGCACAGTAATTGAGTTGAAGGCACGAGAAGCTTTGACCAATCGCTCGGGGATTTGCTATCAACGTTGGACTACATCTCCGTAATAGGCTCTCGGCACTTGGCTGTCAGAAGCGCGATTGGCAACTGGTGTGTCATTTTTGCGTAGTTAGTTCGTCTAAGATGCGGCTTAACATATCGTTTTGAACCTAACGCCCTTGATATCGCCGACTTCGGTTCCGGTGCATAATCTCGGGCTTAGTTACTGTAAGACCTGAGTATATGTAGAAAAGTCTAAAAAAGTCCTGACGGTGACGATGTGCTGATGAAGGAAAAAAACGTACCCCAGCGCCCGGACCATTACCAATTTGTGATGAGAGCACACTCTCCGTTCTCCAGATGTTCTCAGAATTGAGAAATAGTAGCGCTGCACTGTGGGGGAACGCATCTCCAACGTCACGGTTTCTAGTCCCCGTGCCCGTATTTGTCACTCAGCACGGAAGGACCACTCCATGACATTCTTATTGGGTCGCTGGTGTCTGGAGGAGATCCCACAGACAGAGGCGGATTCCAAGACGAAGTGGTAGACAGGAGAACTCAGAATACGATCTTGCGAGTCTGATGCACATCTCAATCAAGAGACAAGCTGCTCTATGATCGATATTTTCATCACCGTTCCTGTCAGTCTAAACCCCTTTACGAGCCTGCAGCTGTAGGCTCGTAACGATGGAGAGAGGACCGAGCCTTCTTGATAGCAACCCGCCAAGCCATCAGAAGCAGATGGGGGTCTCGGTCGCTTCTCGATCCGCACAATCTAGCTCGCAACAAAGTTGCAACATTTAACAGCATCATAGGTCTGAGGAAAAAGAAACCCTCCAGAGCAAGGGAGACTTTTCCGAGCCTTCTCTATTTATAGACTCCTCGGTTATTCGGGCTAACAAGGTGCAGCTGGTACCAAAATGTTCGCTGAACTCACTTTTATGGTCCTGTACTTTTGCGGATATCAACTTTCATCAAGGTTGGGGGCAAAATGTACATATCACCCGCACCCAAACTAGAATCGGACCAAAATCCTGCAGCGTCAACACAAGTCCAGGATGATCACAGAACGCTGCAGAGTAACAAGTAGAACAGCGAGACGTGTTAGGAGATAGGTTCGCTGAACAAAGTGTGCATGCTTGATTCGTGCTTTTTCTGTAATTTTAGGGTATGCTTGGGTGCAAAGTGGGAGGCCAGACTGAGAGATAAGAGTCAAGGAAGTTGCAACCAGGAGAGACGTTTTCATAGTTAGCCACTTGAGTACTCAAGATACTCAAGGTGCATTCACCATCAATCTCGCGGTTTACCCGAGCTTGAAGAGAGGAGACCAAAGATCCAAAGGATTAGCCTCGGAACGTAGAGGTTTGCCGGGTGGTATGTGGATACTGGCGCCGTAGCCTCCGTCTCGGGACGTCCCGGCCGGGATCGTCATACCCCACATCATCGGGGTCATGCTTCCGGGCTATCATCACAACAGTCGTACGACGCTTACATCCAGTGACTCTTGGCGAAACGAAATATAAAGAGTATGGCAGCCTCTGATTTTCAGCTTGAAAGCTTGGCATGTTATCTGAGTCGCAAGCAGTGCAACCTTCTTCAGCCTTCAGTTTGGATGGGGTCCATTACGGCCCAGAGCTGAAAGGTAAGTTCTTTTAGTAACGCCATGGCGTTGAAACATTCCGGAGCCGGCGCTGGCGCGCGGCTCTTTACCGGCACTTCGCCGATGCCACGTTGTGTAACTGTTGGTCTATTTGAGCTATTTTTTATGCTGTGGTGTGACTGTAATTTGCATCAGTAGATATCATGAGGCTGCCAAGCTACAAAAAGTCCCTGACCCGGTCTTCATTAACCATCTTCACTCCTACCTGTCTCGTCTTCCATCGACTATAAATGCAAGTTCTACAGCAACACCAGACCCGAACGGTTGAACTCAATACAAAATGGCGACATATCCTGAGGATCCAAAGTATGACGGGGTGTATAAAAAAATCGAGGACGAACTTTTTCTGAAATGTCATCACGCCAACAACACAGAGTACTTGACGTTCATCACGGACTTCAGCTGTAAAGACTACGACGCTTGCGAGTGTCCCATGATGTCACCGCAGCCAGATATAGCAGGCACAGGTGTAAGCATTTGATGTTTCTTTTTAGCACAACCTCTTGATATTAGAAGAATGACTTCTTACTGGAACCGTTCGGCGAGTTTAGGTGCTAGTAGCTTTCGCCCTCACGGCATTTTTCACTCTCGTCTCAGCAATCTTCTGTATCGTCGTAGGCCGTACCAATCAAACTCGACGGACCTTCAACCCGATCGACCGATATGGTTGCGAATGGGTATCCGAACCTCTTCGCCGCTTCATGTTCCGAAGGGGCATGAACCCCGACTTGCATTCCCTCGTCGCCTACGACCTCGTCAATACTTTCAGCGATCTCCAGCTCGTGACAGGTCTCGCGGTATTAGTCGCCGGGATCAAGGAGCTGGCAGATGAAACGATCTCAATCTATCACTTTTTGATCGTCACCGATCTCGCGTGGTTCTGCACGAATGCCCACCTGCTATCGCTGGTGGTCACTCGCGGGTTCCGTGATAGCGTCAAGAGGACACACCCGCAGCGATGCAATCCCGAAAACACTGAGATGACTGCACGCCTGGCTCGTGCCCTACGGATTGTGCTAATGGCGGCCACATTTCTACTCCTTCAAATCTCATTTTGGGCCACTGGCTATGAACACGTCTATTCTATGAACCGAATGAGGTGCCCGATGAAATGCACTTTGGGAAAGAAAAAGGGCGGATGGCCTAGACACCTGATGGTAGCCAACATGACCTTGATGGCATACTTTTATGCACTACAAACCTTCCTCAGTTGGCGTACCGGCCGCATCTTTTGGATGGACCATATCAGAGGGTCACTGATCGACAAGCAAGGCCAATCGATCAATGTCTTGAATCCCGAAATAATCTTCAAACGATGGACTGAGAACAAATTCTTGAAGGCGCTGAGAATGTCGCTTCTAGCGTTTTGGTATTTCCTCGCGTCTGAAGTTGGGAACTTAGTAGGGCTAACTCTTTATTTTGGTTTCGGTGTCTACTCTCTTCTCGACGATAAGAGACGTTTAGACCCCGCGGGGGAGCATTTTACTGCCCATGGCGAGAGCGAGATTGTATACAGCCAGCTTGTTCCCATTTTCTTACTCATCATCCCCTTCATGGGCATCTTTGAGTCGCATGCCAGGCACTCGAAGACGATCAAGGAGTCCGAGCTCAAGGAGGTGGGAAGTTGTACATCAGAGGGATCTTGAAAGCAAATTTGTTTCATGCGAGTGATGAACCTTGAGGGAGAACAGGACGAAAAGGACAGAACCAAGAAGACAGAATGACGAACATGATGAGTCTGATGACTCTGGTTGAGGCAGGGTAGGAGAACACCAAGCTATGCGGAGTGCCATAATACGCCGAAGATCGGATTACTTCTGAGTTAGAGAAAATGTCAGCATTTATTTTTCAAGGTCAAAGCAACGTGGCGGTGTTCATCGTGAGTTCGCTCTCAGGGTTGGTCAGCACGTTCCCATCGTTTCCCCTTCCGGCGATGTCACTGATCGTCGAAGCGTTTGGCACTTTCAACCACCAAGAGGCGCAAAAGGAGAAACCGTCAGCCGGCAAGGCTGATGTCCCTTGAGACAAAAGAAGCCACAACAGGCCGCCGGTGGTTATGAAAGCGTCGGAATATCACCAAAAATTGGGATCAAGGCTGAACGGGAGCAAGATATGGGTGCAGGCACCACCGACATTTGCCCAGCGCCACAACGCTAGAGCGCGACATGTCTCATTCCCCGGCCTTCACGCGCATGCCAATGAGAGCGCCACCCATTCCTGACACTTTGGCTTTGACGCTGATGTCCCGCCTCCGTCAAGCTCTTCTAAACGCGTTCGGCGTAGCGGTGGCTGAGCGTAGGGTCGCGTTTTACAGGTTCTTCCGACACGAGACGACGAGAAGGCGGGCCGAGGATGTCATGCCAGGCAGAGGTGCGACTGAGTCTTCTGTCATACCAAAGTACACGAGAGTAAGGGTTTCTTGCTGCGGCTTGTCTTGAGTTCTGACGAGCATGCATCATTCCCTGTAGGTAACTCATGCAGCAGAGATCACGACGATCAGTTGGCCCCCTCAAGGTGTATTGAACCTCGTGAAGCTAAGGGGTGGATCGTCAGCCTCCCGCCAAGCTCGCATACACAATCCGAGGCACGAGTGTATCGGCGAATATGATATAAGACGACCGTCACTCCTTTTACAAGCAGGAGGTTAAGGACCAGACGACATCAGAACGTGCATTCAACTTATAGATCACCGTCATCACTCCAGTCACCATTGCCTCCCTCGACCGTGCTCACAGCCCAGAGACCTTGCCCGCAGCCATATCAACCCATCCATCACCCAGTACTTGCGAGACGGGGCTTGATTCGCACCCACACACACTCATATACACCCATACAAGCTCTCACAATGCGTCTCCCAACCTACTTCATCGCAGCCCTCTGCGCAACTGCAAACGCCCTGCAAGCCATAGACGTACCAAACCGCGCGAGCGAAGCCATAGCAGCCGCCAACGCAGCCATCAAGGAACGTCGCGACCTCAACGCCTGCACATCCGTCGCAACGTCCCTCCTCCCCAAGATCACCGACAACGTGCCCACCCCGCCCGCCGACGTGGCCGCCTACCTTGCGCTCTCAGTGACCATCACGGACGCCTGCTCCGACCCAACTATCACGGGATCCATCGGCTCCGCGTACTCGACCTACGCGTCGTCGTACACCTCGTGGAGAGATAAGCACATCACCGACTTCCGCGCGCTGTGGCAGGCTTGCAGCGACGTTCCTGGTATCGTGGACGTTTTGCCTACGGGTACGAATCAGTGTAGCTCTGTCGTGGCGCAGATCACGAGCGCGGGGCCGGTTAACGGCGGCGGGTCTGGAGGCATCGGGGGGTCGCACAACGCTGCTGCTAAGCCTAGGGAGACCGGGGCCGTTGTTGCGGCGGCGGCCATGGCTGGATTCGTTGTTGCTGCTATCCAGTGAGAGTTGACTTGATGCGTGTGCCTTTACCTGAAGAAGCATGGAACGTGGGGAATGGCCATGAAGATAGGGAACGGAAGCTTTTACTGGCAGTAGTTGATACCTTGATTGAGGAGGATGTAATGAGAATTATGACATTGCTGGGTATTTCACGTCCTTTTCAGATAGCATCAAACATGACGGAGAAACATACTTGATACTTTCATTCCCCTCGCTGAAGCTGTCCATAATGACTCCGTATACGCCCGCTTCCGTCTGGTATCTTGATGTTTCCTCCCACATGTCTCTTTGCATACTTGACATTATCATTAGTTTTGTTTCCAAAATATCTACAAGAATCCTCCTTCATCATAATAGGACGGCAAAGTTCCAATTCTCTACCGCCGCATGCGACTTTTTCAAGTCCCGCTTCAGCCAGCACCGCAACTCCGCGGCACCGTTGATCATGACGTTGCCCCACGATACGCCGGTACACTGGGCCGACTTTGCGCAAATCTCCATGCAGTCGCCCATGGTGCTCGCCTGCGTGTTGGACATGTCGATGGCGCCGTCGTCGCCGCTGTAGTCGACCCCGCAGACCCGGAGGAAGCGCTTGTCGGAGCCGATGACGTTGTAGACCGTGTTGTCCGCGTCTGGGCAGATTGCATTGCCGCTCGAAGTTGCTGTTGGAGAAGGCGTTGATGTGGAGGTGCTTGTCACCGAGGTTGGAATCGATGTTGATGCTATCTCGGTTGCAGTTGCGTCGCTGCCGCTCCGTGACATGGAAGAGCTGGACATTGTGGGCACGATCATTGTTGTTGATGTCGAGCTTGCACCAGTAGTTGGCGTGGGCGTTGAAGTTGAGCTTGAGGAGAGCTTTGTTAATCGACAGGTCCACGCGCAATGTCAAAGTTCAAGAGAAGAAGAAGCACATACCTCGTCGTCGCAGCGCTCTGGTCCGACTTCTGATTCGCGCCAATGCCGACACCGACACCAATACCAACTCCGAGAACAACCGCAACAATCAGAGCAACGAGCAACCAAAACACCCACATCGTCATACCGCAGCACTTGCGCTTCCTCTTGCGGTCGCTATCCTCCTCGTCGTGATCGAACACGCTCTGCCGATACCCCCGCGTCCGAGCAGCCTTGTCACCGCCGGTGCCATCCGGCAGCGGCGGCGTGTCCTCGCGGTAGAACGTGAATTCTTCATTGTTCATGGGCGTCGGGTCGTCGCCGGCCCAGTAGACGCTGGGTATCGATGCTTTGCCAAAGATGGATCCCTTTGCGCTCCGGATGGTGGCCGCTTTGCGGGGTGACGGCACGGTACGTTTTGCTTTGAGGTCGCGGGGGACGATCGGGTCCGGTTCGTCCGGCGGGGGAGGGCGGTCGTTCATCATCTTGTTACCGATGATTCCTGTCCTCTTGCCACCTTACTTTAGATTTAGTCGTTTCCGATTTCTCTAATTGGATTCCTCCAGTTGAATTTCCCTCCAGTGTCGCCCAATCCCTATTCGATCCCGAAGCAAAAAGCTGGCAGTTGCAATTGCCGATGCCAGGCTTTGCAGACAATAATTGCCAGAGTTGCTTTCTTTCGGCGACAAGGCTGTTGGCGTTGCGTGTAGGTTGGGTTATACGGCGAGATCCCGCACCATTATCTCGGCCTTCCCGGGACGAGAACAGAGAGTTTCGTAGCCTTGCTGTGGCTGGACCCTTGATATAAAAGAAACGAATGTATCTCGAACAAATGCGACCTTGTTTCAAACGAGTGAAAGTGGGCGCGCCCTGGGAAGCGCAATGCGCCGCGCCGCGCTGCCGTGAATTTGAATTTGGGGGTCCGGTTTTCTCTCTCTGCCCGTATTCTTAAACCCCAGCCCCGTCACAACGTCGAGCGGGAAAAGAGTGAACCGCTTTGTGGGATCGTTTCGCCTTCAATTGAATGAATGAAATTGAAGCGAAACGTAATGAATGAGAGTGAGTGAAGGAAGGGGAAACAGGAAGAATGAAAGGTAAGAGAGAAACGAAAAGTGGGCAAACAGAGTCAACCGTTGCCCGCGAATCCATGATCCGTTCAGGAAACTCTCCTCCTGGCCCCCTGTTGCTGGGCTTTCTCCATCAATAAAAGGACCTATATAACAGAGTCCGGAAGTGGTGGTGCCCCTGTTGTGATAATTTCCCGGGCCTGGGGGATGATGTGACGGACTAGGCCGCTTTGGCACGTCCAAGCAATCTACACCATGGAACCGTGGTTTTAGGGGCAAGGATCATGACGGTGTTGGTTCGTGGTTCTTGACCAGTATGAGAAATCAGTTCCTTTGAACAAGTTGAAGTACCAAAGTGAAAGAAGTAAAAGATCAAGTGAGAGATGATATCCAGAAATCGACCTGTCCGACTGGAATGCGAGCAAACGGCGTGGTGCCCATACTTTCGGGATGTTCGCCTGCCTCACCCGAGGAATGCAATGCGACTGTGACGGTCGACCCGACTCACCATTCCCAAAACCACCGATGAAGACAACGCTCGGCGGGCTGTTTTCCTCGACAAGTTAGCTCCCCAAGCAATTGGCTTACCCCCTACCCTCATGGAAAAGAAACGGTCCTAGCGCATCCAGACCAGTCAGGCACACAGATAACAAGACGAAAACATGTGCGACTCCAAAGTGCGAGCCAGCCGTGCCAGCCACCGGGTGCTAAAGAAAGCACCTTGTGGTGGACGCGAAGGAAGTGTGGGAGTCTGACTTTGTCGCGCTGGCGCCGCGAGTTTTGTACTTTTGCGCCTGAATCAACCCCTCATCCCTCCCATAGTGATTTAAAATGATCCTTTGGCCCCCCCTCCACTCTTCTAACAGACGGTACGGATTCATGTGAGTTCTAGCCCTGCTTCCCAAGATGACGGTCCGCCGTGCATGAGCCCGCGCCGGACATCTGTTCGCTTTGGCGTGCTTTTCGTTGCGCTTTGCCTGGCCTCGATCGCTTCCGCTTTCCCGCGACGGCAACGGACTGTGCTACAGATGAAGTGTTGGATGGCGCAAACTCTTGAACCCCTCATTTTTGCAAGAGCAAAGAGCCTCAGTGCTTCACTCATATTCGTTGCCGTGGTCACTTGATTCAAGCTGCGGCAGGGTAAGGTGAGCAAGGAGCAGAGGTAAAGGGCAGAGAGGAAAGGGAACCGTTGGAAGCATTTGGAAGAAGGGAACTTGAACAGAGTCATGGCAGTGGTATGTGCGGAGCAGAGAACTGGTCAAACTAGCAGAGTTTGCGATTCATGAAGGGACCGTTCATCTCAACTTTTTTATCCCAACGGTGTCCCTGCGAAGAGCCCAACCTCGAAAATGTTCCATGGGAATACTGAAAGGGCAAGGGAAACGAACGAGCTGGGGGAAACGAGCGACAAAAGCCTGCTTTCCAGCCTTGCTAGCTTCGAGAATAACAACAACACTCAACTCTTGACGCCCGATAATCAAACTCCCACGGCCCAAAGCAACCTGCTTTCACAGCATTCCATGGCCCAAGCCCCTGTCCAAGCCCTTGTCGTCTTTTTCCTTGCGAAAGAAGGCCATTGCCAGAAGAAAAAAAAAATTCTCCGAGCTTTGAAAGCCCTGGAATGCAGCCTAGAATTCTTCTTCCTCTAATTATGGCTGAACCACTCTGCCACTGACGCCTGAGAGCTGAAAGCCTTATGTTTGTCCTCGGCTGTTCGAGTCTCCGTAACACTAACAGTAAACAGGTTCCCGTTGCCATTGGGAAATGAAGACGAGGTCGGTACGGGTCAACTAGTGAACAAGTCGAGCAAATGTCAAGGAAGCCCTCTGCTCTCTTGGTGTCCTCTCCGAGGTCTCCAGCCCCCAGTCCCAGGGCGATCGCTGCAAGTCGGGCATGAGGTGGTGTGGATCATCTCCACGAACATCCCGGCATTCCGTTCATCGGGCACCAACTCGACGCCGCTCTCTTGAGATGAAGTGTTGATGCCAATCAAGTCTTTCTCCCTTTGGAAGCTTCCTTTAAACATGCACGTCGTCCCAGAGCGGGTGGCCACTGTTGCATGACTCCCGCAAGACCTTTCCTTGTCTGCTCTTATACTCGCTGCGTTTCTTGCTGTTTCCTTTGGGAAATTTTCTCAAACGGCCTGTCCTTACCGTTCCATCCCGCTCCCGAACCAGACCAAAAGAAGCGTGAAGCCATCGTCAATTTTTTTTTTCAGCTGCAGTGGGGATTTAATTTTGATTATCACTTCTCCCGTGGACTGCAGCATGACCCATCGACAGGCCCCGCCCCAGCCGGCCCGGAGCTCGCGGCCCCAGACCGAGAAGGTATCCAGCTCGGCCTCCAAGAGCAAGGGAACTAAAGCGCCGGCTCCGGCTCCGGCCCCAGCTCCGGCTTCCAAGTCCACGAGGCAGACAACTCCTATCGCTGCACCGAAGCCCGTTCGCCCCGTTTCTTCTCACAAGCTTCAGCCCCCGGTGCAGCAGTGGACGGGAAACCCAAGCCCTCCCTCTTACACCAGCTTCAACGTTCCGCCACCCGCAAGCCCAGTACCAAAAGCCGGCGCCAACGGCCCTTCGGCTCCCCCGAAAGCTCCCTTATCCGGCCTCAGCCGTGTCGCCGACCTCCGCAGCCCGGGACCCGGCGCCCTCACCAGCTTTCCTCCGCCTCCGCCGACACCGCCGCAGAGGGAGCCCACCGGTTACTTCCCAGCGGGCGCAGGTCAGAAACAACAGCAACAACTATCATCAGCACAAACCAAGGCGGCCGCAGCTCGTATTCCGGCTAGTACGACCAATGGAATCCTGACACCACCCGAAAATGCGAAGAGGACTGGGGCACCTGAACCGCGGCCTGGCGTGATCGACTTTGACAACCTCGAAGAGACGCTCCAGAACCTGCGCTTCGCGCCCTCGCCAATGCTGTCTACTATCTACTCCGCCCCGTCGACCCCTCGCGACGAGCTCGCCACGCCAGACTTCACCGCCAGCACCACCACATCGTGCTTCACGCCTCCCTCCACGAATCCGACCCCTGAGCCCGTGACGCCGCTGGATCTCACTCCTCGAGGCCCGCCTCCTGCGCAAAAGCAGCAGCAGCAGCAGCCAAAGAAGGAACTCACAATGTCGCCCACGAGACCGCGTGCCAACTCCCGAAGAGCCAGTCCGCCCAGCAGAAAGCGAGGACGCGGAGTCGTCGCCTGTATCGACAGCCCCGTCACCTTTTGCACGACGTGGTATACACACCCTACCGCGCCCGACTTCTCCATCTGCTCAAAGTGCTACGAGGACCACCTAGTCGGCACCCGCTTCGAACACGATTTCAGGGGCAAGATCTGCGATGATAACAAGCCGCGGGTTTGCCGCTTCAGCAAGCCCCGTGTCAAGGACCATCTTCTCCGCAACACCCTCGCCACGGGACGCATCGAGGATCTCGTCAGCTTCCTCCTCCACAGGAGCGCCGTTCCGAACTGCAGGGGCGCCGACGGAGCCAAGGGAAGCGAAGGCGCCAAGTGGTATCGTCCAAAGAACAATGCCGTACCGAACATGGTTGTCTGCCAGGCCTGCTTCGAGGACCATATCCAGCCGTACCGCTTCGCTGCCAACTTTGAGCAGGCCACAGGACAAGCCACCAACGATGTCTGGTCCTGCGACCTCTCCACCCGCTACATTCAAAACGTTTACAAAGAGGCGGCCGTCAAGGACGACTGGCTTGGCTTCACCAAGGAAGCCCTCGCCAGGATGAACCTGCCCCCCTGCGCCAAGCGCCAAAAGGTCACTGTTACCTCCCGCAAGTGGTTCACGCCCACGGCCGCGGGCCACGACGGCGTCCTCGTCTGCGCCGCGTGCTACTGCGACTTCGTAGCCGGCACTGGCGAGGAAGGAAAATGGTGCGACGCCGGCACGAACCTCGCCTCGCGGTACGGCAGTCTCGTCTACTGCGCGCTGGGCCACTTCAACATTGGCATCGCAATGTCCTGTGCCACCGAGGCCAAGCAGTACTCCATCTTCTGGAAGGCCCTCGACGCCGCCTGCAACGAGGAGTTTTGCAGCCCGCAGGGCATCACGGACGGGACGTGGTACACGTTCCCCTCCCACCCGGCCGAGTTCGGCATCTGCGCCGCCTGCGTGGCGAACGTCGCCGAGCCCCTCGGCCTGAGCTCTTCTCTCGTGCCAAAGTGTGGCGTCTCATCCGGCACGACGCTTCTGTGCTGCTTCAACCCCGCGAACCCGCGCTTCGCCCCTTACATGACGAAGCTTCTCGAGTGCCACTTCACAGCCGACACCCAGCCGCTTGAGTCGTACGCACTCGAGTTCGCCAGCCTGCCTCTCTGCCCGCGCGACGAGGACTTCCGCGACAGACGGTGGTACGGGTGGCAGGACTGCACGATTTGCCCGTCGTGCTACCACGAGTCCATCCGCGGCACTACGTTGGCGGCCGCCATGCCGCTCAAGGGCGTTACCGTGGCCGCGAGTCTCATGTGCGAGATGTACAGCCCGCGCATGCGCAACCTCTACGCCCAGGCTTGTGCCCGTAAAGACCCGTCCGAGCTGCTCCGTGTGTCCAAGGCCCGTCGGGCCGTCTATGTCGAAACGGTGCCTACGATCCGGCAGATGATTATGGAGGCGCAGATGGCGCTGGGGCAGCAGCGCGTGTTGAATGTTGCGAGCTCGACGAGTCGGGCTATGGGACAGGCGAAGGAGGTTGCGATGCCGAGTCAGGGGGTGTATAGTATGCCCGGCGTTGGATTCGGTTTCTCGAACCACTTTGAGGCTCAAGGGGCCTCGTATAGCAAGCAGGCCAACTTGATCATGGCGGAGTATGGGTCGGGATCGCGGACGCATGTTATTGGGACGTTGGAGAAGAGATGGAGGGAGGTTGAGTAAGTTCGATGCCTTGAATGAGCGAGGACGTATATGCATGTTTTTTCCTTTGTCTAAAGATACCACTTAGAATATTGAAAAGTCTTTCCAAAAGATCCATCAACTCTAGCCTCACTTGCACTCTATGATGTTCTAACACCAGCATAAGAGTACGGGTTATTACTGCGTCAGCTTCGGGTACGCACTCAGAGCTGCCTGCCCGCCAGTATGCAAAAACAGAGTGGCTTTCCCATTAAACCCTCCAGCCTTGGCAGTATGCAGCAGCCCAGTAAACGCCTTGCCAGTATAAACCGGATCCGTCAGGATCCCCTCCGTCCGAGCCAATGTCTTGATGCCCTCCGCCGTTCGCGCATCAAGGTGGCCGTACGAGCCCCCAAGGTAATCGTAATCGATCTCATAGTCGTCTCTCGTGATCAACTTGGGATCCAGCCCAATCTTCTCGGCTGTGGTCCTCGCAATATCCAGCACCAGCTGCGCGACGTCGTCCTCAGACTTCCTCAGGATCGAGTATCCGACCAGTCGCTTTCGCGCACCATCGCGGCCGATCTGCTGCGCGAGCTTCAAGCCGGCGACAAGGCCGCCCAGAGTCGAGCCAGAGCCGACTGCGAGTACGATGTTCCCGATACTTCTCTGATGCTTGTGTTCCCACTCGAGGAGCTCAAAGGCCCACCTTGCGTAGCCTAGGCCGCCTAGAGGGTGTGTGCTTGCGCCTGCAGGGATCACGTAGGGTTTCTGCCCGCGGCTCTCAAGGGCGGTGACGACGTCTTCTTTGCTCGTGTTTGGCGGGAAGGTTTCGGCGCCGAGGATGGAGTTGAGCTGGATGTTTCCTGCGTACTTGTACTCCGGGTCCTCTGATGAAACCGCAGTAACAGGGAAGAGAGCGACCTATCTATCTGTCAGAGGAGACCTGCGCCATTTGAAGACGGGTAAATACGCCCTCTATGCTAGAGGCATAAACTCACTTTCAAACCTAGCTTTGCCGCAGCCGCAGCGGTCTGGCGCATGTGGTTCGACTGGGTCCCGCCAGTCGTGACTATTGTATCCGCACCTTGATCGATAGCGTCCGCCAAGACGTATTCTAACTTTCGCACCTTGTTGCCCCCGAACGCCAGACCAGAGCTGCAGTCATCACGGGCGATATAGATGGCCCCCTCCTTGGTCCCCTCCTGTTCAGGAAGTCGGTGCAGCTGCTCAATATCTACCGGCCGGTCATAGGTTAACTGGAGACGAGGGATCTCGCTGAATGGATGTGGAAGATTGACCATGTTAACTTGATATCTAGTATCATACAAAGAATACCTCTGGGGATTTGTCTAAAGGATCTTGGTGTTTTGTTCGAGGTGCAAGAGTTGTGGCCTCAACTTGGGACTTTGGAAGAGGGGCTGTCTAAGGTGAAATGAGTGACCCCGCTCCAGCTAATTCTATGTAAGACTATGACGTGCGATTTTAGGATAAACGCCGTGTGGTTTGTAAGCGCTGGTGGTTTTGAATTCGGCTTTTCACGATCAGATCCTCTGGTCCGTCGATGTATTCAATCCGTGTTGCCATGATGTCAAGTAAATATCGACACACCTGATTAAGTAGCGCCCGGAACGTCAAATCTCAGCTGCATAGCCTTGAATAGTGTCCTGCGAAAGCAAACCCCTGTTTTCTAAGCAAAATAATGGGAAGCCTATGGTCTATCAATATGGTTGGAAGTTACGACACCACCGTCTTCCCTGGAGAGTCGGGGTCTGGACAAAGTGCAGGCCATTCAGCGACCCCTCTTAGTGCGGCGCGCCCGACACCGATTGACTACTCGTCTCCCGTGATGTTGACCAGCCTTACAGGCCGCAGGACGTCAAGTCAAAGTTTTTTTCGGCCATCGAGGTATTGAACAGGTAAGTTGAGAAGCAGCCTCCAGCTCGCTCCACTCTGCTTGATGCCAAGCACCCTCCCCATCTTACCTTCGACATCTTCGTTCCCCTACGCGCGCGTGATACCACCTCCGCAAAAGCACAACTCCAACAAAGAGCCCAGGTACGGATCACCGGAGACACAAAAGCAGCAATGAAGTGGACAATTACCTACTGGCTCCTGCCTCTCGCCTGCGTGGCCCAAATCCCCGTTGACCCGCCCCCCTTCACACCCTTCGGGCCCAATCCCACCCAGAGGGTGTTTCCCACCACAACTTGGTGTGCAACAGTAACGCCCACCGAAATTCCCGGTGTAAAGCCCAACGTAACCCTCTCATGTACAACATACGCCCCGGAACCGACAGCATTTGCTCGGTTCAACCGCATCCCGAGGGCCCGAGGCCAGGCGCGATGCTGGTACGATCGCTACGTCGACAGGATCGAGATCGGAAAGCGCGCGCTGAACAATCAGGCCGAAATCCTTAAGGGTGTGTACGAGTGCCAGGATAAGTGCCAGCAGCCGCTCTCGAACGGCAAAGAGTGCAAGTATGCTGTCTACGTCAAGGCAGGCCCTAGGTTGAAAGACCTTTGCTTGTTGGACAATATGGTCTACGAACCGTTCGAAATTAATCACAGTGGCCCGTTTGATTCTTGGCTCTGCATTGGCAGCGAGAAGATGCAGCCCGAAATTGAGGATGCTCCAGATGTAAGTTTCGATGGTCGGTAGACGATCAAGATCAGCCCGTGACTGACAATTTCAGACGAGTGAGGGGGAGATACAAAATCTTTGGGCGTAGGAGTATCGATCAGTTCTGCACTGGGATTCGAGGCTTGGCAACATCAGCACCATCAAGACGAAATTCGAGGTACCGTATTCATGTGCAATGTACGATAAGGGCAATGCAGACACACCTTACTAATATTAAATCTTTCCGACATGGCAGCTCAATTCAACCGATAATTTAATCGATAGGCACCGCGTTATGCTACGGGGATTGCAGATAATAGCTGATAAGTTTATGAGTTCACCTGGAACACGGAATATCCCAATTCGTGCGAAGTACCTTATTCTTAGATGTAAGAGTGAGGGAATGAGGGAATGAGGGATGATTACTGCGTCCACTTCGCGAGCGTTCAGCCCTTCTGAGAATCGATCTCTACACCATGCCAAGTCAAAGCGGATCTCAAGTCGAGCAAATATCGATGAACATCACAGCAGCGAACCTGAGAGTCTTCACCTATGCGATCGAAAATAAAGTCAATCATGCAGCTGGCGGGCTCAAAAGATTGTAAGGATCGATAATGCTATCCGATAAGCCTTAGAGATTATAGCCCATGAGAGAAACCAGACTCCTCGAAAGAAGTAGATAGTTGAAACGACAGTAAATGCTAAGGTATATGTTCCATAGCGCCTAAATTATGCAATCCAAATCCATAAACACAGATTTCATACCCTGTTGGATGTTATGTTCGTAAAAAGCCAGATTATTCATCAAGAACCCCCCATCCCCAAGTCTACAAAAAGAGAGCGCCAACGGCAGCGGCACCAATCAGGCCGAGACCCTGAGGCGACACAATACCCGCAGCGTTGGGAGTCTGGGTAGCCTGACCGCCCGCCGTGGTTGGGGTGGTGCTGCTGCCGCCGCTGTTGCTGCCGGACCCGGATGCGGAGGTCTGAGTCGGGGAAGAGGATCCGCCGCCGACAGCGCCGGGGGTGATGGTTGTGGTGAGTTGGGCCGAGGCAGTGGGGCGGGCCGCTGAGACGGACGGGGTTGTAGACGCGTATGATGCGGTGGAGGCGTAGGAGGTGCTGGCGAAGCCGCAGGTTCTCAGGATGTCGTTGATGTCTGGGTTTTCATATGTTAGTACAAGAAGAGATTGAATGATGATGCGTTGCGGTTTATCTGCTTACCGTCCAGGTCATCTCGGTCACGGACGTTCTGGTCCATGCAGCTTGCACAGAGTGCGGCATACTGGGAGACGTTGATGCTGTTGTTTGTGCAGACGCACTGAGCCTCAAGACGGTCCTCGGTCAGGTCATCTCTGACTTGGTCGTCATTAACCTCGCAGGCTTGGCCGAGGTCGTAGATGGGACGGCAGACGGCCTGGCACTGGGTGGGAATGTCATCGTTGTCGAGCTGGAGGTCGGCCTTGACGAAGGCGACGGCGGCAAGGGACAAGGCGAAGCGGTTGAAATGCATTATGGCTGTTGTAATTGTTTTCCGGGTGACTAAAGTCGATTCAAGACTGCAACTGGTTGAAAGATATGCTCAATGAGATGATGTTGTGATTGTTGATGGTGTCGGAATGCTAATGTCAATCCAGGATGTAGAGCGGGATGATGCAGGATATATACTCATGTTTCGAACGACTCTCCTCCCAGGGGCGAGATTTCATGGATCAACAACTCAGAGTCGATCAACGGCAGATTAGACAGACATACCACGTACGAAAAGCATGACCGTGTCTCGGGCAGCGACCGCGCATCGTCACTCAGAGGCTTGGGTCTTGGTTGGTCCCTTGGCGCTGGCAGTTCTCCATCTCCGCAGCTTCCACTCAGATTGCCGCTATTCGAAAGTGGATTTCGATGAGGGAAGCCAAGAAGCCCCCTAGCTGCCCCAGCCTCAATTGACGACTCAACATCCCGGGCATTATTCGACGGTAGTTTCTCGTTGTGTGACCGATTTGCTAAAGCCCACCGAACAAGTCTAAATCGAACAGACGCTAATTACCTAAAGTCGAGCTCTCGACAAGTGTTGCTTGGGGGCCTTTCGGTCCTTGCTGGGCGTCATATTGCTTCGTCAGAGCCCTATATCATGTTTATTCTACCTCCGCTGTCCCCGAATCCCCAGGAAAGCTTAATTTGATACGACTAGGGCCCCTTGTGAGCAGGTGAACATTCACAATTTGCCGACTCCAAGACGGATAAGTGTCGCGTGCTACGACTGACAGCATAATAATTACGGACATGGCCGCTTAGGCAAGGTCAATGCCGGCCGACAGCCGGGCGAGCAGCCAAGCACCCCCAAACAACTGGAGTGGCGCTATAATAACCAACCAACAAAATCCCAGAGGTAGATGCGTATCACGGGTGCAAGATAGTTGCGTTACTTCTGTGCCTCTCGTTAACACATAGAGTACCATTTGCCAAGGTGAAGAACATGGCTGTCTACGCGTTTGCTTAGCCTTCTCGATATGAGGCATGCGAAGCAAGATCCATTACTAAACTTGAACATCTCGCCTCTTCCAGAAGCTGGCAGCCGTGGATCTTGCCAAGACCCAATGCCCCGTCGATTAAATCTTCGTTATTTTGATTATCTACCAATTTAATGTACTTTAGTTACTTGCAGAGAGGTAAAGTAATCGCTACAAACCGTACGTAAAAATTTAAGATCAGAAAAACTCGCCGCCGGCACATCCCCGCCAAGCACAGCAGAGCCACGGCGACACGCGCCAGCCCGCCTCCTAGGCTCTTGCAACCATAGAAAACAGGCATTCCGACAGACGTTCCGTAAGGGTTTCTTTCCGACTGGATCACCGACCTAACGCTACCCAAGGATCCCAAAAAAAAGATCCGAAGATGAGCTGTCCTGTTTCACATCTCTACTTGGCGCATAGTGCCGGAGAGGGAGAGCCTTGTACATAGTCAGCCCAGTACTTTGTTGTTTACGGTTCGTCCAGTCATGTTCTCAAAGCTTGAAGGGGGTGTTCCCTGCCAGATATATCAGCTTACCACTCAGTGCCCCCAAATGACGCTGGGCTGCGGATGATCGACACCACGTCCTGCCACTGGGATTAGCATCGGCGCAGGAATTTACCACTAACAGAGGCTTTGTCTTGGGTTACTGATTGTTCACTGGATGTTAGTCTCCGCCAGCCTTCGTCAAATCCACGCAACTCTTGACGCTATCCCCGGCTTTTCTTGCAGCTTCATAGGTATTTCTATTCGCAGAGAGACAGTCGAAGCAGCTTCGAAGCGGGGTAGCTCTACGTTTTCCCCAAAAGGCTCCAAAGCTTCGCGGTGTCTCCATGTCCAGGCTAGCTAGCTGAGAGGAGGTGCGGGTACCGCGATGCTAAATTTAGGGCCTCACGATGCGCTTGCATCTTGGCACTCTGTCAAAAGAAATTTCAACCGACAAACAAAAGTCAACACATGGCCCACTGAAAATCTGTGATCGAATAAGCTTCAAACTCTGGTTATGATCGAACGAACTTTCAGGCTTCTAGAATTTCAATCACAGCGAAAGAAAGTCCCGTGAGCTACTTTGTCCGAACAATTGTCGTCTGTTTGCTGATCTCTCCACGGGGTCCACGCAATATGCCAAGACATCACTGAAGCTTCGCCTCGCTGGATCAAGACGGGAGAAGAAAGCGAATCAAGTTGGGAACAAGAACCAGAATTGCGTAAAAGCCTCAATCTGGTCTGACAGAAATAGACTCAGAGTGGGGACATCCGGCTTGTACCTATCTAGAAGCCAGACCGCAATTTCACGATCTATATTCGTCTGGTTGGGCTGGTCATGAAGTTGTTCTGGTGACCGCTCGGGCGGCGTGACTGGGCCCGATTGCTTGAAAGCTTTGCGTTCAGCTCTACAAATCTTCCACCAATACAGGGAAGTTCCAGCTCATCAAAGTTGAGAAAATTGGTTGTCACCTCGTGATCATCATATGCGTACGAGATCGAGGCTCAGTACAGTTTGCAAGACGTAAGTTCAAGTGGTGAGAAAATTGCGAGCTACGTTTGGCAGTGTCTGTTTCCTCAAAGTCCCGCATGCTGTGTCTATTTACTAGGTTATCTGAAGAAACAGATAGAGCAGACATAGCAACATCGCCTGGCTCAAAGCGTGCTGCATAGGATAGGATGGAGTGGCCTGTTGTCTATCTAATCAAACATGCCATCACGGTAGTCAAGGTACCGTGTCACAATTCTTCTGGAAAAACAAAGCATTTTGATAAAATTCGATCTTGAAAGAAGATGCTGTACAGTGATTGCTGACGTTTGCCCACCGTAATCCTATAAGCAGAATGTCATCTAGGAGGAGATCTTTGTTGATGTCTACAAGCGAGGAAATGACTACTTGTACTTCTGAGGAGTTCTGACACCCGCGCTTCTACCATGAGGATCTTACAACACATGGCATATCAGTCAAAGTGACTCTTGAGAGATTTCTCTCTTTCGCCGCTTGGAAGTAGTAAAACTTTTGCCTTGGTAGGACGTTTGTTCAGATGGGAGTCAAGAAATGCGCCGCACCCGTAGGTTTACTGCTTCACATACTATCAGCACTCAGTCAAAAGCGATGAGATAATAGTTGTCTGATAGGGATCAGGCTTACTGTTTGTTTGAAACGAATCACAATCACTGCAAAAAGCCAAGCTGTCATTGTCTTAGTCTGTAGATAAACCCAAGTATGCAGGCCACAGGACCTCCCGCCATAATTACTAGGAGTTAGCAATCGGGCTAAGAACTGAACCCGATGAACTAACCCATCGAGTGCTGGATAAAAGCCAAGATGTACCTCCCCAGTTTTCTCCAGTGCTGATTCTATCTAACACCTTGAATTTGAATTAGGTATAGCACTTAGAAATACCACGACTTTGATACTCAATAACTTAGATCAATAGTTAGTTTATACTTCCCCTTATGACCAGTATGTATCTACAAGTTGATAAGATGTTGTCCAGCACTCGAAGGGATAGTATCCAGAGGATGTACACGCACCTTAAGTTTCTTGATTCGTAGCTCATTCACGGTCAACTTATTCAAGCCGCGCCTCATTGACATCTATGTATCTCATTGACATCTATGTATCTCATTGAAATCTGTGTATCTCATTGACATAGATCCATTTGACTTGGAAGTCTCAAACTTAACAAGATTTGAGTCGCAAAGATCGGTGGCAGGTTACGGGACTACCAACATGTGTTAAGTGTCATTTGTATAGATTCATTCAATATCGCCAGCTACCTAACTGGGTTCATGTTAATACTTCTTGATTTGTATCCTGGTTAAAATTATAAGATGATGGTATCAGTAATAGGTTGATTTTATATGCCATTTGACGGAACGCTAAATAACTCTCTAAAATCGCAACTATGAACAGATATGTCGCTTCTCGTTCGTAGAAAATTGAAGTCGTAAAATGTACTTTACAGTACTGTCGAGATCCCTCCTATCTCAACTGCTTGGCTCAGAAATTTCAGCCTGACCATGAAGCTTCCGGGCTGTCTGACTGTCTGGAGTTGGTTGAGTTTAGCGCCATGGGCTCTTCAGGTTGACCGAAATGTAGATGAGCCACCGGAGAGCCAATCCAAGCACCTGTCTTGACTGTTCAGATTTAAGAACTGAATTGTCTGTTTCTGATGATTCTCTCTCTGATTTTCAGTCGAAAACCACGACAACTTTGTTCGCTTTGCCTGATTTGGCCAACTCCAACGCGTCTATCGCCTGGTCAAACGGGATTTGATCACTGACGATCTCCGCGTACTTGTCCCAATTGTCGACGATATCATCTGTGACCTCGAAAATCTCTGTCGGATATCCCACGCTGAAAACAATCGTCAATTCCGTCGAAATCAACTGTGCAAAGTTTAATTCCGTCGGCTTTCTGTGGACTCCTACCACGCCGAATGTGGCGCCTCGCTTCGCCATCTTGCACACCTGCGCAGGGACCGGAGGTGCGCCCGCCGCGTCCAGAAAGATATCGGTACCAGGACGAGTGCCTCGGTTTTGTGCCGTCGCTCCGTCTCCTTGCAACTCGACCAGCGTCGCCGCCAGATCTTCAGCTTCAGCTGAGTTGACGACAGCATCGGCACCAACTTTGAGAGCCTTTTCGAGCCTCGCGTTGACCACGTCCACGACGACAATGTGGCTCGCCCCCTTTCTGCGATACCCCAAGACCGCGCCCAGACCGATGGGCCCCGCGCCAAAAACCACAACCTTGCAGCCCGGTTTCGGGCTCGTCCTGTTTACCGCGTGCAGGGCGACCGCCATGGGCTCGTTTAGTGCCGCAATGTGCCAGGGTATGCTCTTCGGAATCTTCTTCAGGTGCTTCCGTGGCTCGTAGTTGTAGATGACGACGTATTCGCACAGCGCACCCTGCGCACCGCCCGAGCCCAAGAGGCCGTCTTGAAAAACCATCGTGTCTACCACGACATGGTCGCCGACTTCGACGTCTGGTGACTCAATGCCCGCTCCGATTTCTGCAACTTCTCCTGCTGGTTCGTGGCCGAGGGGCGTACAGCCCTGGTAGGGCGGGATGCCGCCGTGATCGGTGTACAGGCTGTCTGAGCCGCAGATTCCGCAGGCTTTGATTTTGAGAAGAACGTCCTTAGGGCCAGCTTCGGGCTTCGGGTGGTCGACCCACGACACAACACCGGGCGCCGTGATTTCAACACGCTTCATGACAGGCTCAGGCTGGAACTGAACAAAGAGAATGTGAAAGGATGGTCGCTAGAAAACAGAATCACGTTTAAAGGAGAGTTGGAACAGAAGGCCATCCTCTTGTACGGAATATGAGTCCCGCTCATGGTCTCTTATATTCTATTTCCTCTTCGATTTCAATTGGCTTCATCGTTTGGAAAGCGAGACCGATACCGAGACATCGTGAAGACACAAATGAGAAGTAGCTGAGTGCGAAAGGGGGGGTATTGCGACGAAGGTTGACAAGCTCCCCGAAACTAGCCCCCCTTTACCATTTTGCTGGGGCCCCCTAGTTTAGTTCTAGATGCCGCGAACCTTACTTTGGAGTTCGGGAAGTGGTTCAGTGCAACATACGCTCCCATTGGCGACCCAAGGTAGTGACTAAGCGCTATCAGGAGCACTACTCCCGCCGTTAGCCTTCGGGTTTAGGTTATGCTGCGGAGTACTCCGCCCGTGCCTTGCTTCCAAGTTCCAGGACTCATCGTCGGAAGAAGAAATGACCGTGATAAGGGCATCATGCCATCAGAGCCCGCCAAGAAGATCTCGTGAGTTTCTGAACCTCGATGATGGAAGACAATGTGAAGATGACTGCTGACACTAGCCGTAGATGCAAGAGATGCCAATATCGAAAGGCATCTTGAACCCTCGCAACTTGGGTAGTCGTAACTTCACTGACTCGGCGTTCTGCGCTCATAGCTAAAATGCTCACGCACGGAGCCATGCCAGAACTGCGCAACGGCTCAGCAGACTTGCGAGTATCGAGAGGTCGACCGTAAACGACGGCCAGCGACACACGAATATGTCGTCAGCTTAGAGAACAGAGTCGCATGGCTGGAGTCATTCATCGGTAAACTTCAAGCCGCGCCAAGCCCGGAGCGGGACATCCTGCTAAAGACCGTCTCCTTCGGGGATCACCTCTCAATCCCGGAATCAGCTGCAGTAGTGAGCGTGAGCGAAGAAAAGAATCCTGAGCCATCTCGAGACAGCAGCGAGAATCTTCAGGTCGACCTTGAGGGTTCGCTCATTTACCATGGTGCGACGAGTATCTATCGCGCCCATCTCGGGGTGCCGGCACGGGGCAACGCCTCACCCTCACGCGAGCTTTCTGCGAATTATGTCGTTGGTCCCGACTCAAATTTTGAGCATGTGGCAGAGCATTTCGGAATCAGCCTATACGACGAACTGGTTGATGATGCATTGATGCAGTTCTTCAAATGGCAGTACCCGCACTTCATGTTTATTTACCGAGAAGCCTTCTTGAGGGACCACTTTGGTGACCGGGTTCGCGGCAAGTATTGGTCATCGGCTTTGCTCCTGTCTATCTGTGCTTTGGGTACACTTATGTCACCGGACAAGCGCCACCGAGATGCGAGCGAGCAGTTCTTCTCCGCTGCCGAGAGCATACTCATCGTCTCCGGCTTCACGAAACCTTCCATCGTCACTGTACAGGGCTTCCTCTGCCTGGCATTCTACGAGATTGGAAGAGGAAATCTCTCAAAGGGATGGGGCTTTTCGGGTAAGTCCTTGCTTGTGATGCCCAGTTCGTCGATACGTGATACTGAATGTGAGCGGGTGTAGGAATCGCGTTCCGGATGGCGCAAGACATGGGGTTTCAGAGGGACCCAAAACATTGGGTATCCCACGATGCATCGCTAGCTACCGAGGAAGATTTGGAGATTCGCAGACGCATCTTTTGGGGATGCTACACTTCTGACAAATTGATCAGCCTGATCCTTGGACGATCAGTCTATCTTTTCTATGATGACGCAGAAGTCGAAACCACCAACAGGCTCCCGTAGGTCTAAGATGTACCTCTACGAGTTTCCACCTTACCATGTACTGACTGCCGATCAGAGACTTTCCAGAGATGAAGCCCTGGCTCCCTGCTGGGTTTTCGGATTATGACGGGGGGTTCGGTGTCGTAAATCCCCTCATCCCATGTTTCAAGGAGCAGATCCGGCTTTCCAAGATCATTGAGAAGATGCTTTCAAGGCTGTTCTCCACCAAGAGCAGCCTGGAGGGCATTGGTCGCCAGTCGTGTCTCGACAGCCTCAACTTTGAGCTGTGTAGCTGGTATGAAGCGTTGCCCGACTGTGCGAAATGGAACAGATGGGAACCACCAAGCACCCTGCTCATCCCAAGCGTGGCAGCACTCCAGTTAGTTCAATTCCCTTACCAACCCCCCCCCCCCCCTTCTGTTACTTTGATCATGCAAGATGGGACTAAAAACTGATTTTTCCATCAGTTTGCTCTTTCATAGCGTCCGCATTGCGCTAAATTTCGAGCAAGCGGTGTCCCATGACATCTCAGCTCTGAAAGACAATGCCCGCAAAGACTGCTTATCGTCTGCGGAAGACATCGCACACATCGTACGGAAATACCGCAGCCAGTACGGTCTTGGACACAGCCCTCTGATGATGATCTACGGAGTTATGCAAGCGGTGAGAACGCTGTCGTTATTCGGCACGTCGGAAGAAGCTCAGTACTTGTTGCATGTTTTGGACGAATGCTCATCTGCCTGGACGTTGGCCCACCAGGCGAGAGATAGATTGGCACGAGTCGAGGGGTGAGATGCTGTTGCAACTTTCCACCATCCGTTTGATTTGCGTGAAGAGTAAAGCAGTCCAGCACCATACCAGACCTTAGGAGGTAGCCCTCTACAATTCGAACATTTCAGTAGAGGGGCGAGAAACTGCACTAATTATGGTTCAAACTCCAAGACCAATAGCAAGGGGGTCGGCGATTCTAGACACAATGGATGCGAGTAAGTTTTAACGGTATAGAATGTCATCATTCTAGTACAAGTCATATCCTATATCTCTGAAAGTCCTCAGGGCAAGGGAAGGCCCGCCTCTAATCCTGTCTTTAGGACACCAGCAAGCTTCTTCACGTCTGAGATGTTGTTGTAGAAACCAAAAGAAACTCTGATGCCCAGGCGGTAGGGCGTGACAAGCACACCACTCTCCTTTAAGAGATCCATCCACCTCGGGTCATGCAAATCCAGAATGTACAAATGAGGCGCATGATCCTTGCGAGCCGAGGACCCGACTATCTTCACCCCGAGACTTCGGCACTCCTCTCTCAACACATCACCTAGGCGGTAGAGGTGCTCCTGCACACGTCCGGGACCCATGGAATCCAGATAAAACGTCAAAAACGCCTTTGCAGCCGCTGCACTGATCAAGCTCAAATTCAGATGCTCGTATCGGCGAGTGGAAGAGTGATATACCACCTCTTCGGAAGGGACCAACAGGTCAGCTCGCACGTTGCTGACGGCCCCGTAGCCGACAATGGGGGGAGTGGGGTCGGTGTCGGCGATGAACTCCGGGTTGACGTAGAGAACCGCGAAACCCGTCGGGCAGTTCAACCCTTTGTGCAAACTGAAGGCCGCCGCAGAAACCCCCAGAGCTCGGACGTCCACTTCTGCGAAGCCGACCTGCTGCGTGAGGTCTGCGAGGACGTGAATGCCGCGTGGTCTGTATGTTGCGCAGATGTCGGCCACGTCGTTCCACTGACCGCTGTGGAACATGATGGAGCTGAGCCCGATGGCCCTGGTACGCTCGTCGACATACGGCGCAAAGGTTGCGGTGTTGGCGGCCGTGACGTGCCCGGTCTCTTCCGCGGTCGAGATGGTGGGCACCTGTCGGACCTCGAGGCCGGCTCTGCGGAGAGCCATCCATCCGTAGACATGGTTTGGGTGCTCTGTGTCCAGGACGACAACGTTGTCGCCAGGCTCGAATCTGAGGCTTCGGATGAAGCATCCCAGTGCCTCTGTTGTGTCACGGGTGAAGGCTAGGGAGCTCGGGTCGGCGTTGATGTACCGGCCGACTAAAGCACGAGTCTCTTCGACGGCGTTCTGCCATTGAGGCTTTGGATGAGGGTTGTAAAGGGCATCGGAAGTGAACTTGGCGATGGCGCCGTGGATTATAAGGTTTGAAGGGGGTTGGTAGGAGGCGTTGAGGTAAGTGAGGCTCTCGTCGGCCAGAAGAGGGACTAGAGACCGGAAGGTAGAGAAGTCGGCTTCCGAAGGAGGTCGAGGGGATGATTTGATCGAGGTTGGGACATCGTCCACATGGTCTTGAACAGCACTAGGCGACATGATGAGTCTGAATGGGTTGTATAGGAGAAGAGATCAGTATGATGAGATTGAGGTACAGCGATAGACTCGGCTCTCCGTCCTGAAGCTGCCGGCTTTTATCGTCTCTTCATGTTCCTATATCGGCGCCAACATCCAGAATGATTTCTCGGCATTCCGTCGATGGCCCGATATGACCCTATAGAACTTGACGCGTATGAGTTTATGGACGTACCAGTGGCGAAACTAGCTCATGGAGGTTGAAGTCCGTCTTGAGTCCTTGGCGGATGATTAGGATCTCGGAGCGCCAAGGGGGCGGGGCAATCTTGATAGTATCGACCACCGAGCCGTAAGTTCAGCCTCGGAAACTTCTTATACCTGGAGTGATAGATTATGACCAGCGCTGAATATGTCATTTCTGTGCTGAGTCGATATCGAATCATCTGATGTCGTTGCAGGGTCACCCCAAGGATCCACCATCGTCAATCCGGCAGCGCGGACTTCGACCTCCATTTGCGGGTCGCACGTTGATAAGAGGCCCCTTTCCCCGCATGTTGGTGCAATTTCGCTCCACGCCAACGTCCTTAGTCTGTGGATTATCTGGACAATGTATTAGTCCTTATCGGTTCCCCAGGTTCCAAGATAACTCTGGATTACGGAGAATGACTTCCATAAGTACACTTCATGACTTTAACGATCGCTAAGCCGAGAACATGTTTTGCGAGATAAGTCCGGAAGGGCTTAACATCTAGTTCCTTCGGCCCTTATCTTGCTGGCACGCAGATTATAAGAATCTGTTGCCCGGCGTCGAGAGCCGACTATTGGGCGTCATCATCACTGACGGGATTCTTTTCATTTGTTTCAATTGCTCAAAGTGCTTATGACTGGAAAATCACACCGCAAAATACTCTGAATCTCTTTGACTAAATTGCCTTCACAATGAGCAGCGATGATATCAACAGCAAATATGGCAAATCCGCCAATGACGTCGTCGGCACAGTGGTAGAGCCCTCTGACATGGGGCCATCAACCTCCAACGTCGAGGGGACTTCCACAGAGACGAGAGGCGAACAGCAACAACTCAAGCGGGAGTTCAAAGAACGTCACGTCTCTATGATCGCTGTCGCCGGCGCCATCGGGACCGGACTCATCATCGGCTCTGGTACGGGTCTTGTTAGGGGCGGTCCCGCGAGTCTGCTGATCGCGTATACTCTCATCGGAGCGGTCGTCTTCTTCATCATGACGGCCGTGGGAGAGATGGCAACAATGCTTCCTTCGGACAAGGGATTTGCTGGATACGCTACACGTTTTGTTGATCCGGCTTTGGGGTAAGACTAGGACCACACTGTCGATACGAACTTCTGTTCTTGAGCGAGCTAACTCAAACGTGGAAACAGGTATGCCACGGGATGGAACTACTTCTTGAAGTATGCTATCGTCCTCCCCAACAACCTTACTGCAGCAGGCATCATCATACAATATTGGAGACCAGACCTCAACGTCGCCATTTTTGTGACAACCTTCACCATAGCCATTATTGCTGTCAACGTAAGTCAAGTATCCGGACAACTACTATTACTCTTTGAACTAACAAACCATTAGATCCTACACGTTTCCTTCTTCGGCGAAGCAGAATTCTGGATGTCCGCCGTAAAACTCCTCGTGATCGTAACCCTCATCCTAACCTGCTTCATAATCTCCATGGGCGGACAACCCTCCCACGAAACAATCGGCTTCAAATACTGGCACAACCCAGGCGCCTTCGGCTCCTATCTCGTTGACGGTCCAACAGGCCGGTTCCTCGGCTTCTGGGCCGCGACAGTCCAAGCTTGCTTCGCTTACACCGGCACCGAAGTCGTCGGCGTGGCCTTTGGTGAGGCACCGAACCCGCGCCGTACGATCCGCAAGGCCGTGCGCCAGACGCTGTGGCGCATCGTCTTCTTTTACGTCTTGGGTGCGCTGGTGCTGGGGATGTCGGTGCCGTATACCAATGACATGCTTATCGGCGGGACAAAGAAGAGTACCGGGGCCGCGGCGAGTCCGTTTGTTGTTGCGGTGCAGATTGCGAACATCCCGGTATTTCCGCACGTTGTCAACGGGTGTCTACTTGTCTTCGTCCTGAGCGCTGCCAACTCGGATATTTACATTGGATCTCGTACGCTCTTTGGCCTAGCACGAGATGGCCAGGCGCCGGGATTATTCATGAGGACGTCTGGAAAGGGCGTTCCGCTTTACGGGGTCGCGGCTACGGGTGTCTTTGCGGCGCTGGCTTACATGAACGCCGCCAAGAGTTCATCCCAGGTGTTTGGGTATCTCGTCAGCTTGGTCACGGTGTTTGGCACCCTCAACTGGGTGAGCGTCTTGACCAGTTACATCTGCTTCACCAGAGGTATGCAAGCGCAGGGTATCCCGAGGAGTCTGATGCCGTATCGTGGGCCGTTGCAGCCGTATGGCTCATACTTTGCTCTATTTGTGACCATACTGGTTGTCCTGTTTAACGGTAAGTCCACGTCTTCTTAGTCGATTACACGAAGATTACTTGCGCGATCTTTCTGACACTAATGACAGGTTACAATGCTTTTATCCCAAAGTTAACAGTGTCCACTTTCATGACCTCCTACATCGGCGTTGCCATCTATTTGGCCAACATTTTCAGCTACAAAGTCTATGCCAAGACACGGCGGGTAGAGCTTCACTCGATGGATCTCGTTACCAACAGGCTCGAGGATGACGGAAGCAAGTATCCTAGTACACTGGAGAAGGCGGCTTCGTGGGCGGTAGAGCGGCTCAGGCGATAGGATTGACATTATTCAATAGATATTACATATATGGACAGGTTTAATTCGGAAGTGGTATCATCGCGGCTCTTCAGATCTGGTCCCATCCCACATATATCTACATGCACTCATCACCATGATATCTTCACTCGCCAGCTATCATGCAATAGCAAAATCCATACGTACATCTCCAGGTAAACAGCATTCGAGTTCGGATTGGGGTGCCTCTAAGCCGCAACCTTCTCGCTCTTGGAAGTCTCAGTCATACCCTCAGCAGGAATCTCAGCATCGGTGTTCTCGAAGCTCTCGCCCCTCTTCATGCCGAGCTGACGGGTGTCGTAGCCGTTTGCCTCCAAGTAAGCGCGGTAGCGCGCGTCCTCGAGTGCAATAGTGTCTTGCCCGATGTGCGGCAGGCAGAAAATCGCGAGGGCGGCGGACAAGACGCAAAGCGAGGAGGATACCCAGAAGGGGTATTGGGCGGAGGCGACGGCGTTGTCACCGGCGGCTGCTTGGATGTACGGGAAAACTAGATTGACCTTGTCAGCCAAATAATCTCTATAACCTTTGTTACATCAGGCATGTGTAACTTACCCCAAGTACCGACGAAAGCGCCAATTTTGCCAATGGCAGCGGCGACACCATAGTACTTGCCGCGAATGCCCGTCGCGCAAGTCTTTGCGGCAAGCAGACCGATGTTGTTACCGGGACCGAACTCGCCGAGCGCCAAAAAGATGCCGTAGACGACGACAAAGCCGCCGACCATGCCGGGCTGCGACAAGTTGAAGTAGTCGCCGGCCATGATGAAGCCGACGACGGCCTGCAGGAAGACACCGAGGGCGAGGGCGTAGCGAGGACCAAGCCAGTCCGAGGCCGGGGCGCCAAGCATGGTTCCGGGGATGTAGAACAGGTTGATGACCGTGTTCCAGCCGAAGACGGTGGTGAGCGGGGCCGTATCTCCATACAGATTGCTCAAGATTGTTGAGGAGTAGATACCGAAGGAGTAAGCGGAGAACTGATGTCGGAAATTAGTGTGTGTGGTTCATCATAGTGCCCACAGCTTCAACATGACTTACATCATAGATGAACCAGATCAAGCTGACGACGAAGAGGCGCCATCCATAAAACTTGAGTGAGAGAAGGTAGGGCGTCTTCGCGTAGCGCATGGAGTTCTTGGTCGATGCTTCGGGCTCCTTGACGAAGAGACGGAGGGCGAAGAGGAACATGGGGAACACGACACCGATGCCCAAGCTGGTGCGCCAGATGGTGCTGTAGTGACCATTGTGGCAAGCGGCTGCGACAACATATGGCACGAATGCTATGCTCTAGTATCAGTATCGCCAACATCAAGATCAAGAGTCTGAAGAACGGACCGCCAATTACGAAACCCTAGTTTACAATGTTAGCAAACGTGCAGTTGACAGTAAGAAGATGGCGAGATACGTACCCAATCAATCATGGTGTTTGTGAACATGATGAACCACAAGTTTCTCGAGCCCGATTTTAGCTCGCCGGTGGACTCTGCTGCGCCGACGCTACCCGCGGGGTACTCTCCTCCAATGCCGATACCGACCTAAATGTCATCGCGATGACGTTAACAATTGCACTTTTTCTCTGAGCGTATGCGCTTATCCCAAGCACTTCGAGCCAGATTCGACAACGAAGCAAAGAGCGCCAGCCTGATTCAGACTTACAAAGAATCGCCATGCGGCCAGGATGTTGAACATGCCGATATCGTCACCCTTGTAATAGGATCCGGCGGCGAGCGCAGTGAAGACGAGCAGGATGACGGTCGACACGAGCAGCGAGTTGGTTCGCGACCAGTGGTCAGCGAGCCAGCCGAATGCGAGCTGTCCCACGACGGTGCCGGCAAATGCGATGTCGCCGACGTACTTCTTGGCGTTGGAGTTCTTGTAGAGGTCGCCGTACTGCAGTGCGAGGATCGTGGTGACGGATCCGATGACCTATGCCCCGCGTCAATGACCATTCCCACGAGATGGCGTGCAAAAAGCGGTTGCGCTCACGTTGTTGATGTAGCCGTCGGAGAAGAGACCGGCGCCGCAGGCAATGACGGGCACAATGGCCTTCCGGAACGGTTGGCGGGGCGCATCGTCGACGGCGACGGTCTCTTGCGCCGTTGCCTCGGACTCTGCCGACTTCTTTCTTCGGAAGTTGAGCATTGTTGCGGCTCTTTTCCTCGTGTAAGTGCTCAAAGCTGCGCTCAGTGTGTCGAAGGGAGAAAGACCCTACGACACTGCGACAGAGTGAAGTCAACAATCGAGAAGATGACGGCACAGACAAGACTGTGTGCGTGCGTGAGGGGGGAGGAGAGGCGAGAGGTTGTGCGAAGCGGCGCGCAAAGGTTAAAAAGAATAGGCGCGACGAGTCAAGAAGCGCAAGGGGAAATCAACATGGTATTTATTCGGACGATCACAAGCCCGTCGGGGCAGCCACAGCACAATCTGCCAACCAGAGGGGCCTCTCTTCTCTCATGTTGCTTTACGGTCTGGTGTCTCTTGTCCCCCTTACCACGCCCTCAGGCAGCTCTGCTGTTGGTTGCTTTCGTTCTGTGGTGAGTAGGTGTTTGTGACAGACAAAAAAGAGAGAGATAAACCTTGGGAATGCCTCGGATGTCCCGTCCCACCCTACCTTGTTCCCCGGCGGACGGGACCCGGGCTCACCCAATGATGGGCAGCCAGCCCCGATGCAACATAATCGAAAGGATTCTATGGGTCCCTCTCCCCTCTCTCACGAGTCACCTACGGCTCCCAGAGCGATTCTTTGGAGGCAGGCGAGTGGTCTGTTGGTTGTCTTTCGAGGGAGAACGAATCCACACCGGATAACAGTTGCGGACAGATACCGGGTTGTATGCTGATAAGACACGGTTATGCGGCAAGAGGGGGAGGAGCCTGGTGATTTCCTACGGAGTACGCATACCCATTGGGACTTTTCGGTCTGGGCGCGGGCAACACACCGTAGGCCGCTCACCTGGGGAGCACGGGGAGGAATCCTGAAGAACCAAAGCACGGGGAGAGAGGAGTGGAGGGGGGACGTGGAGGGAGTGTGGGAACCCGATGTTACCCATCCGCTAGGCGACCTGTTGGTTCGTGCAGAGCTGCAGTAGTTCATGTGCTTTCTCGACTCGTCTCCCGCTTTCCACAGGTTGATGAACAGGTGGCACAGATGACGCTGCGATGAGAAGAAGCACCGTAAGCCAGAGAGAAATGGTGGTCGCGTGTCTTATTTCCTACCATAGCCAATTGTGATTCGATGAGAGAAAAGATGCATCGCTAAGCTTTTTCCAAGCGGTCTAGCGCTTCTCGGCAGCCCTAGGAGGCTCACTTCACTTGGCGCTCTCCCGCATGCTGCCAAGGCTTTTCCCATGCGACCTTGTTGTTGCTGAGCTAAGATACGATGGGGGGAAATTGTTAGTGCTATGGATTGCTTCCAGCACTGTTTGGTTACTTTGGTGACCTGCCTGTGACACATGAAAACCTACGAGCAAATACGTTGACAACTTTCAACACGTGCTGCTTCTTCAAAATGTCAGCAACCGAGACTAGGCCGACTATTTCGCAAAACATACGACATGGAATCCGTAATCCGTCAAAGGATAGCCGAAGAGGTGGATAGTAAGTCCGATGTTACAAAGACTCCAAGCTAGATTCATTGGGTCTTTGGCAATTGAATCGGTCGCCGAACTGCCGTCATCCAGGGAAAACTTGAACAAATTGCGCGGCTCAAGCATCTTCATGAGAGCACGTGGTTGGGTTACTTCGTAAAGACATTATTGTTCAATTCATAAGCACTAGGGTGTAGAAAGGAAAATCTCTGCGAGTCGCTGTTGCGCAATCTTTTTCGCGTACGGCCAATCCAGGGCCGTGTTGCCCACCACGTGCTTGCGGCGCCGATGTGCCGTCATTGCCGGCCCGCCCCGACTTTCGGTCCTGTGGCGGCGGCAAGACCCCTTTTCTGCCTCCCGGGACCCGACATTTTCGGCGTGGAGGCGTTAATGAGGTCAATGTTGGTAAATCTTTAGTTTTCTAAAGGCGCAGATTTAGAGAGGTTTCCAGTAATTGCTAGATAATCCGAATATGTTTAACGTAATCACTGATAGAGATGATTGGCATCACTTGTCGGTATGATGTATCCAGTCTCGGGTTAACTCGTTCGCTGGTTTCGTTGTGGTCGCTGAATGGGTGAAGGTATTAAACGTCCGGTAATTCGTCAGAGACTTACGAGCCCATCAGAAAATGACTTCCTAGAAACCGAAGAGCAAAGGGCAGCAAGCGAGTACATATACTCGGTGAGAGCGAGGGCCAGGTGAGAAAGTACGTAACAGAATAGCGGCTCTATCTGTGCTGAATATGTTAGTCGTATTGCTCGCATTCGTTTCCAGACAATTGCTTCGTACGGAGTAATCCGTACATCCAGAGCACTAAAAGATAATTAGATTAACAGAGTCAGTCGCCTCAAGACTCGTCGATCAATGCCAAATACTACGTGGCCAAGATATTTGTTGTCTAAATAAGCTTCAGAAGTACCATCCGGTTCAATCTCATTATGGCAACTTTTCGGCGAGCTGGATGATTCCCGAATCCCTCCGGCGCACTCATATACGCCCGCTCTGTACGCGAATGCACGAACACACCGCCGGGTCTACCATACAGTTTATCGTCTATATAATTGTCGTAAAAACGACACCGTTAATCGAGGGCAGCATTCAACGCTTGATATACTACAACAATAATCTGCAACGCTGTTCTGGTAAAAACTTCAGTAGAATATGAAGGGATACGGGAACTTCTTGATGCAAAGACGCCTCTAGGGATCACCACTCTCTGGATTGCGACATGATATCAAAAGATGCGACTGGCCCTGGGATCCAAAGGACGATGCTGTATTGCGTTTGTTTGACCATCACTTATAACACAAATTTGCGACCATTTTGCGAGTAAATGAGTGACCATGGTTTCAAGTTAAGATTGAGGAAATAGAGTTATCATCAATTGACTACCATGACTCGATTACTTGGTCCTTGACATTAGTGTCACAAAGCTTCGACATCGAATACTCGTATTCCGCAATGGTCCAGTTGGTCTGATCACCGCCAGTTCCCATGTCATATAAGTAAGATCTGATGCACCTATCTCACTGTTAAGAGTCTGAAGATAACATTTACATTCTTATCCCTCTTCATCGTCTTTCACTCTTTGAACGTCACTCATTTGCATTACCTTAACACTCATTCATCATGCATGCGTCCACTGTCCTCGCCCTGCTCACAGCCTCTGCTGCCCAACTCGTCGCCGCGGGTGGTTTCGCGTCGACATGCAGCGACATGACCTACTCGGGCACCACGTTCACCGCGAAGTGCAGAAACACCTTTGTTGATCCCTACTACCCGGACGCCCCCATCGACTTGTCAAAGTGCCTTGCCAACGTCGGGGGCAAGGTTGTCGTACGTCCATTCCCCCTTCCAAAATAAGGTCCCAGACAATCAAGAGTTTATTGACTAATCCCTGAACCATAGTGCCGACCCAAGAGGTAAAGTCTGCTCGAAAAGTCAGAATGATTGAGGAATCCTCCAGATACTGACTTGTCTCTCGCCAGCCCATCCTTCAAGTTTTGTGACTGCGGTCTTGGCAGTGACAAGAAGATTTTGAACTGCCGTTGCACCGACTCTACTGGAACCAAGCAACCTTCTTCTCTGAACCTTGGTATGTACATGCATTGAGTCATAACCAGCTTAGTGCCTTCAAAACTTACAATTTTCTAGATACCTGCCTGACCAACAACGACGGAAGCTTGTCTTGCTAAAGCTTCGTGCCGGCTGCAGCTGATTTTGGTTCGAAGTTCGAATTCACAGAGTGATAGGGTGAACTTCAAGGCCTAGGAGACTGGGGGCTAATCGAGAAATACACACTTTAACAGAGAGCCAGAGCCTAAATGCCCCAGACATGTTTATGCGGAATGTAGATTTGGTGGGTTGCTAAAGACCTCGATTAAGTATCTAATCGAAGTGTATCTATAGGCGAGCCTTGGTATCTTCAAGTCCCGTCTCTTGGCCATGTGCATCCTTTGCGCCTGTCCCTTGTACCCGGCCGCGTCCATATCAGACCGCGACCAGACTGGCCCTAAGCGTAGAAGTCAGACCGATCTTAGTGTCCGTCCTTATGCCCTTTGACCATCACCTCCTCTTTAACACCAGCCTGTCGGACTATCTGCGGGGAAGAACGATTCCGACAAGCTGCTGCCGTGTCTAGCTGACTGTCGAGACCTTGCCAACCTCTCGGCTAGCTGAAAGGCTGAGGTTGAAGAGGCTCTCTGCAATAGCCTAGGCGTTGAATGTGGCCCTGCATCCTGGTCCTGAGTCTACCAGATGTGCCAGCTATGCGGCATCGGAGAGCTCCTAGCTAGGCACTTGACGGCAATGCCAGAAGGCATCTCTAGGTTTCTGCTCGTTGATGCGAAAGTGGAAGCTCAATCTCGATGCCGCTGGTGTGGTGCACGCCAGCCCCACAGGCGCACTTAAGCCAGCACGGAGTTCAGTAACATCCTGGTTGGACTCACGGCACCTTAAGTTACCAGTGTCACAGCGGCTGAGCAGAGAATCGTAATCAATTCACCACGAGACATAGGCTCAAGCCCACGGCCATCTTTTGGTATTGATTTGATAGCAAAGGCCCAGACTTGCTCCAAATATGTCGGTCGAGAGCCCACATCCGAAGCTCCAAATGCCATGCGAAATCAGCTGTCATTCTGATGGATGTGTACTTGATCATGCCTCCTCCGTTGGCTTAACGTCGTACTCGACTTCCGTCCTAATCACGTACTTGGCGCCCTTTCTCACACCAGTACCCTCGTGAAGAGGCGCACCCTTTGCATCTCCATGCGGGAAGACGGCGACTCCGCCCATGACCGGTCGCACCGGGTACGCATTCAGCGTGCCCTCCCGCGCCGCTGGAAGGAAGTAAGTTGTTTCGCCGCCCTCAAATTCGTCGTTCAAGTAGATGAGGAACGTGAACAAGGAGCTCTGCTTCTTGTCTTCGGGCGATGCATCGTAGACATATGTGTCGTCTGGAAGAATACCAGAAGGCGGCCAGGCACCGTCAATGTGCGCGCGGTACTCGGCTCCGGGGACGTAGCGGTACACGCGGAACCGTCGGTTGAGGCCGCGCACCTTTCGTCCGTCAACTGATTGGGGGACAAAGGACGAGACTCTAGACCAAAGCGCATCGTGGAAAGTGGTATCCACGACCCAGTAGAAGTTGTGCGCAAGAATGCTAATGTCCCCATCCTCGCGAAGAGGGGCATCGGGGAGGAAGTTGACGGTCTCACCGGCGGTTATGATTGCTTTACATTCATTCACAGAAAGAACGTCTTTCAGGAGGCTGAGCCCTGGCACGACAGGGTGTGCGTGTGCTGTTACTAGTGGCCGTTCGTCGACGAGGGGTATCGTGTTAGGGGCGGTCGTGTAAAGGAGTGCGTCGTGGTGGTTGGGCGGTTTCCGAAGCGGGCCGGGGGTCCGTTCGATGACGCGAAGAGACGCTGCCAAATTCGCCGGCGCTGATTCAAAGATTGTCTTGTCAAGTACAGAGGCGTATACCTGAAGGGATGGCGTGGTGGGACGGAGGTCCCAAGTGTCCTGCAGGGCGATTCCGGGTGTAGAAGAGAGTGGCAAAGGCACGGCCTTGGGGTTGCTGTCGGAGTGCCCACAAGCTCGCAAGACGGCATCAAGGACCAAGAGTCGCTGCTTGTCCCTTTCAGTTCTCTGTATGGTAACACCGTCTCCCTCCCCTTCAGGCAATGTGGATAGGCCGCTAATGACGTCCAGATCTCGCACCCAGCGACACAGGGCTCCTAGCTTCGGCTCCTGGCCACGTATTCTCATTTCGGATAGCAGTATTCTGGCATCATCGTACTTCTCGTCGGTGAGGGCGCCAGTGATTCGTGCTGCAAGTCCAAGGTTTGTGCCGGCTGAAGCAACCAATTGTCAGTTCCTGGCAGATAGCGACATCGTATGATATGGGGGTATACAAACGGGCATTGTTGACACCACTGGCGCAATTCTGACGGAAGTCATAGACGGCAACGCGAAGATCTCGGCACTGCTTTGATTTGATAAGATTCGGGTATTTGGCGAGGGTGTTTAGCGTATCAATGGCAATGTCGAGTTCCTCGTCCGATATGACCGTCTGGAGGCTCTTGGGCTCGAGGTTTGAGGCAGTATTGTCATCACTGTCAGGCGGCGTGACTGTCGTCGCTGAGGTCTTGGGAGCTTTTCGCGGAAGCTCCTCCTGCGCGTTTTGCTTGCGCTTCTTCGCGGCCTTTGATTTCGCCATTGTTGTGATGTTTCAACTGTGATAGAGGTGTTGGTATTCGGACGAGGAAGTAGGAGTAGAGTGGCGTTCAGTGGGCTGAGATTTTGGACCAAGCTTCGAAAGTTCCATTGCACCGCCAGTCCAAGGGTCTTGCCCCGCCGAGGGGTTCAGCCAATCGCCAAGTTGGAGCCTGAGGCATTAGGACTGAATCCCGCTGTGGGGCCGCTCTGTGTCCGGGGCGGATCGGTCTAGGTCCGGGGTACCCTTGGCTAGACCTACTTTCCCCCGCTCCATTGTTCATTCTGTGGCATAACAGCGAGGACTACTCCGTATGACGACCTCAACTTGGAATTTTTTCTTTGCGAATCATTATCTCGTTGCGTTAGCAGGCCAACTATCGAACAAGTAGTAATGTTGGCCAAAATATTCCATCGTTCATATTCTAAATTATAGTCCAGTCCGCAATGCATAGAAGAGTCTTCGACAGTGCAATGAAGACCCAAGATTCTTCAAAGAACCCAGAAGATCAGGGTTCATGTAGCTTCTGTGAGGACTACCACATGCTGTAAAGTATACCAAAGTGGCTGCACGTGATACGCATTCAAATCGGCGGCTGAAAGCCGAAAAGGAACCGATATGAGCGGTTAGTTGGTGGGACAGTAACTGCAGTTTGCTGCTGCACAACAGGCTGAATGTGATCAGTCTCAATTCTCCTCAAGGCGCTCTGACCTGCAACGCCAAAGCCGGTGCGGGACCATGCGGGTGTTAACCATCTTGAAATCCGACGCGGAATTATGACCGTCTGAACACCAGCAGTCGCAGCTCTAAATCTGTCAAAAAAACGTCATGGGGTGAACTGTCAAGGAGCTTGCAGATGCATAGAATGCGGACCCGCTATGCTCATACGAGGGATGAAGCGATGCACATGCATAACAGGCCAAATCGAGAGGTCCACACAGGAAGTTGCAACGCCTGGCTGCGCTCGTTACGCAAGGCACATACGTACAACATATGAATTGAATGAACCCTCAAGAGAGAGCGGAGAGATCTTAAAAGAACTCTGTGAGCCGACTGGACCAACAAATAGCGGCAAGGTTTTTATGTCCACGGGCCGTGACGGGCCCCGGAGAATAGCTCCAAATTTTTAGTGATTTTGGTAGCTGTCCTATGCTTTCCGTGTTGACCATTGCCCGCTCTAGGTCTGAGTAGAGAAACTGAGTTCCCTAGCCAGAGTCTAAGGGTGGCATAGCCGTCGATCACGAAGCTTCCCCAGATGCTAGTTCACACCCTCGCACAACAGTGGGTGTGCAAGCACCAATCAGCGAAAGTCAGTTGATGCTTGACGTAAAGCGTACACAAGGTATAATACTGCGGACATTGGCGGACATTCGTGGAGTTGGTTACACATTCGCCCTGTCATTCCCGCACCAGACCCGAGCGCTAAGGAGTACTCCGTATAGTACAGAGCAAAAACGCCTCCAACTGCCGAATCCTGGACGGGTAGCAAGTGCCGGGATCTAGATCACGAGTGGGGGGCGACGTACACCGGAGCCGGGCCAAGCCGGGCGAGTTATGCACGAAATGTGCAAAGCACGGAGACCATCCGACCCACGGTGACGCTCGCCCGCCGCTACACTCCGCGGAGGCTTAGGTTTATCTCCAGATTCTCCACAAGTATGTAACGGTATGCCGCAGTAGTACTGCGAGAGATCGTCGTTTCACAGGGCGTTCGGCTTTCAAGGGTTGAACCGAATTCCGTCGCTTAAATCAAGCATGAGTTGATAAAAAGTGCACTGGTGCCAGACTTGTAAATAGGTAGACGAGCTGCCACCTATCAAGTTCATCCCGTCTGTAATCATCTTGACAGTTTCAGGCTCCGCGGGGAGCCCACGCTATTCAACATGTCGGACCACAGTACTGGCTTCACAGCCCAAATCCTCAATATCCATACCCTCTGTTCAGCCTTTGCTCTAGTCATTACTCTGGTATGCGATGACTTGCAATCCTTCAAATCTAGTGACCAATTAGATTTTACTGTAGCCCTCGACGCTGACCGCAGCTGACCACTCATCTAGGCCGTCGCTTACCTCTTCGGGACAATCATTTACAACGTCTTCCTCCACCCCCTTCGCGTATACCCCGGACCAAAGCTCTGGGCAGCCTCGCGCATCCCCTTCACTCGCGCCACCTTGTCTGGCCAGGTCCACCGCAAGATCTTGGCGCTGCATCAGGAATACGGACCTATCGTCCGCGTCGCCCCCAACGAGCTCGCGTACAACTCCCCCGATGCATGGAAGGATCTCCACGGACACCTGAAGAACGGCACCGGCGACCATGGCCGAGATCCCGTCGCGACCCAGGATAGCAGGCATGGCATCATCGGCGCCAACCGCGAAGACCACTCGCGGTTCCGGCGGGCTCTGTCCCATGGCTTCTCCGCTCAGTCTATGCTTGAGCAAGAACCCATCGTCAAGAAGTACGTGGACCTGCTCTTCCAGCGACTTCATGAAAAGTGCGCTGGTGGTGCCGAGGCTCTGAACATGGTCGCGTGGTACAACTGGACGACATTCGATGTTATCGGTGACCTGGCTTTCGGCGAGCCGTTCCACTGCTTGGACGATTCTGGCTACCATCCCTGGGTGAAGCTCATCTTTGACGGGATTAAGGGCAACTCTTTCAAGAACTGCATGCGACGATTCCCGCCGATCGAGAAGCTCTTAATGCATCTCATCCCGGCCGACCTCCGCAACAAGCGAGATCAGCACATTGCACTCACTAAGGAGAAGGTTTCCAAGAGACTTGCCATGGAGACTGACCGACCAGACTTTATGGACTCTATGCTGCGCACAAAGGGGCCTCAGGTAATTCGAACCTACTAGCCGCAAAATTGCCTACGAATTCTAACATTGAGTGCACCAGAAACTCACATTTGAAGAACTCAAATCGAACTCCTCGGTCCTCATCATCGCCGGCTCGGAAACTACCGCAACAGCTCTGTCGGCAATCACCTACTACCTCTGTACGAATCGCCAGGCTCTTGACAAGCTCACCCACGAGGTCCGAACAGCCTTCTCCTCTGAGGAAGAGATCGAGATGGTCAGCGCGCAGCAGCTACAGTACATGCAAGCGGTCATGAACGAAGGTCTTCGAATGTACCCTCCCGTCCCTACGGGAATCGTCCGCAGAGTTACCGACGATGGCGGCGTATTCTTGGGTCAATACGTGCCGAGCGGGGTAAGTTTACGCTCATTTTTATTAAGCTTTGCGAGGGGACAAGAACGTGATGCTGACGAGGTGGTAATACACAGACGTTGGTACAGGTCTGGCATTGGCCTGCCTTCCACAGCCCGGAGAACTTCACCCTTCCTGACTCTTTTATCCCCGAACGTTGGCTCGATGATGCTCGCTTCTCTGGCGACAAGAAGGAAGCGTTCCAACCGTTCTCGGTCGGCCCTAGAAACTGCATTGGCAGAAAGTAAGTTGCATTATCCTCTGCCTTCCACGATAACGTGTTCAGTCCTCAGATGCTAATCTACTGCGTCTCCTCATAGCTTGGCTTACGCGGAAATGCGTCTCATACTCGCTAGAATGATCTGGAACTTCGACATGAAGCTATCGGAGGAAAGTAGAGGCTGGGACGATAAGAGTCAGGTCTATCTTCTTTGGGAAAAGGGCCCTGTCAATGTCTATCTCACCCCCCGAGAAAAAGCTTGAATGTGGTGCATGTCGAGATCTGTATAGACACTACTTGGCAGTCTTGTAGGGTGATTTCTTTCGAGGGGTCGATTCGGCGTCATGCGCTTGCGTGTATTGACGGACAGGCGTTCGGGATTGAGGTCGATTGCATATCATTACTCATGGATTGTGCTCGTCACTGTAGCCGTACTAAAACCTTGGTCCCAGTGTCGTCCTTGCTGCCCCAGCATGAACCCATGCCAATCATAGATCTCAAAGGGACGTTCCATCTTGAATGTTCGACCCCCCAGTGCGATAATCACATGATGGTGTTGATGTGTGAGAAACTATATGCAAGGTTGGACTCATACACTTTGCGCAGATTCACCAGGGAACTAGAAGCCTTGCAATTTGATGTTTGCCGGAAAGTTATAAAAGTAAGTCACGGGGGAATGCTTAAGAAATTGACATCGGTCTCTTCGAGCTAAGGTACTCAATATAGCAGAGATTGCGAACTGCCATATAGGTGAATTATGTCTGGAGGATAGTGTTTGTTTGATTGATGACATTCACGCTCTACCAGGCGAGAGAGTGGAAGTCTAGGTCCGCGTCAATGAACGCTTGTACCGAGATGATGCAGTCCGAGGCCTGAAAACTCTACCGGACTAGACTCTTTCGTCTACGTCAATCTCAAGTGACTGAGAAGGATGTGATCTCGCATGAAATGTTTCCAAGCTATGTATTGAAAGACTTTCCGAGAAACATAGCTTGTAATTGTGCCTAGATGAGTGATTTCGACAGTACCTGGCAACATCATGACAAATTCGGGGAGCGTCATGTGGAGTTATCGAGTGAAATCTTCAAGTGAACCTCCTGTTTCACTTTGGCTCTAAGCTAAGTACCGGGTGCTTAGAGGATATTGCACCCTAGAGTACTAATAGCACATGCCCGATTCTCGGCAAAGCCAAATTCAATCGAGATGGAGTACGTTCAGGCTATTTTGACACATGTATGCTTTGATATACGCTGATGGCATAGATTCACCTCCCAGAAGATCTCAAGCAGAACTTGAAGAGCACTTTGGGTAGCTCGAGTTTCTTGATTTTCATCCAGTTGAGAATTTTTCAAAGCCGTAGTCCCTTCGGTCGATGCTGAGACTACCGCCCTAAGCGAAAGGACATGCGTGCGTAATGCGAACAGCTCACCTAATGCTCGATGTTTGCGGACGGCCTCATGCCCAACTGAGTTCTTACTATTGGCCGACGACATATCCATGAGCAACGACCTATAATGACATGCAGATTTGGAATGAAATCTAGGACTACATGTGAACATACACATGATGATAATCCAGTGATAATCATTGTCGCGCATTAGTTGGACTCCTTTGGCCGAAGAACACATATCCTCGGCCTGTCCGA